TGAAAAATGTCACCATAGACAAAATCTCATCGCTTCTCGAGGAGTTTAGAGGTTAAGAGTTGGCTCTGAAGTCAGACTGAGTGTGAATCACAACCCTGTTCTTGTCTAACTAGGTGTCACTGAGCAATTCTTTATTCTTTCTGGGATGTAGTTTTCTTTTCCATAGTATGCCTTCATCTTGGTCTGTTTTCTGCTTTTGTAGCAAAATACCACAGACTGAATAATTTATAAAAAACAAAAATTTATTTCTTACAGTTTTGGAAACTAGGAAGTTCAAGGCCAAGGAGTCTGTATCTGGTGAGGGCCTTCTTGCAAAATCATCCCTTGGTGGGGGACAGAGAGCAAGGCAGAGGGGGAATGCAACTTTTTTTTATAAGAATCCACTTTCTTATAATAGTATTAGTCCATTAATGAGGTAGAAGCCCTCATGACCTAATCACCTCTTTCTTAATAGTTTACCTCTTAATACTGTAACAATGGCAATTAAATTTCAACATGAGTTTTGAAAGGGACACATATTCAAACCATAGCAGTCTACCTCATACGGTTTTCATTTTAAATAAAATAATATCTGTAAAATATTCAGAAGAGTACCCAGAACAGAGAAGGTATTTAATAAAGAGAAAAAACAATTATTACAAAAGAACTGTAATTATATTGGGGGTATAGATGAGTAGAATTGGATCCAGTTTCTTAATAATAAAGAATGGCTATATCATGGGAAGCCCAGTAGGCAGGCATAAGGTATGATGGATTTCTCTGGATCTTAAACTTCTTGCAATAGTCTTCTTGGTAAAACAGTTGAGACACAGACACACTGAAATCTGGATGATGGTTGGGTTTTTCTGCATTCTGGCATGGGCTTTAAATAGTTTGATAAGGAATTTTGTCTTTAAAAGCAATGAGTTAACTTAGTTGTATGAGCATGTATCTCAGTTCGATCCAGAAGCAGTAAACTCCCACTGAGTGTGTGGAAAGATGGTCTAAGTTCCTGTGTTTACACAGGACTCCATGTGCTGGGTACTATTATTGTCTTCTGTTTGTAGGTGAGAAAGTGAGGTTTGGAAAAGAGAGATGACTTCACAAGGTCGGAGTGCTGATTCATACTCAGCAGGACCAGTACTCAAACTCATCCAGTCTAACACTATAGACTGTGCTTTTAACTCTTCTGACTTTTTGCCTTGAGGTTGGTCCCAGAGAAAACTACCCTCAGTAAATTAGAATTCAGGCAACTTTGGTATCAGCAAAAATAGAGAAGGTGACATGTCACACTCTGTCCCACTAAATACAGAGGAAAAATGTGGTGGAAAATTTCAGCACCATGATCCTTGGTGTCTGAGAATAGGGGAGCGAGAAGTTGTGTGTTGTGAACTGGACACAAGAGCACACAGAATGAAATCACATGAAGTGTTTTACCATCTGTCTGGATTTTTAAAAAGCAGGCTGACTACATTTATGTCATATAATGATCACTCGGCAGTTACATCATGGCCTATTTTTATGCTATCATATAGTAATTGGCATGCTGCTGATTAAGACTAGCAAGAATAAAATTCTAGGCGCCTACTGTCAAGCTATTCAGCATTCTGTTAGACAAATTACAAACATATGTTGGGAGTCCACTCACTGCCCAGTCTTTTTGCTAAGCCTTTTAGGAAAAAAATAAAGATATTAGACGTAGTTCTCATCCTAAAAGAGCATATGATCTTTTTGGTAAGATGTGGTAATACAAGTAAAATGATCATATGAAGTAGGAATGACCTAAATCGAGGATCAGATGGGAGAACGGTAGCCAGGAAGGCAACATTGTGTTGACAGCATGGGAAATCTGTGAATAAAGAGGTAGAAACATGCAAGATATAGTTAGTCATTGTGCTTGGAACAGGGAAATAATTTCAAAATTCAGAGTGAGAGCATGCTGTAGAAGGCTTTGGCTGCCTCACTAAGGAGTTTAGATTTTATTCTAGATTTCAACACATTCTTTTAGGGCAAAACACATTTTTCAAACAAGCCCAATATCGGTCTTTTGACTGAGACATTTACTTCCAACAAGGTGTGAACAGGGGTTTATCTACTTTTAAAAAAAGCACAGAACATGATACAATGGGTTTAAGTAATTGATTAATAAACAAAAAGGACAATGATCCCTGAGAGAGGGGAGCAAACAAGGTGAGCCCCATGACTGCCTCAGCTTGGAGAGTTTCCAGGACATAGCACAGGGAATTTTCAGACCACCACCAGCAACCTCTTTGAGTTAAGGATATGAAGCTGGCAGTCTGCAGTGGCCACGATGGCTGCAGTTGACAGAGAAGAGCACTGGACAGGAGAGAGCTGCTCAGAGAGAGCTCTGGGGAACTGCAGAGGATCCTTATCTGGTCATCAGTAGAGTAGTGATCTATGCATGTTTATGAGGATTAAAGGACTACTCAAATAAATTAAAAGAAAAATCCTTGGAGCCCTTTAGAAATAGATTTTGTGCCTGCAATCAGAAAGGGAAACTTCATACTTTATGGGGAATCAGGAATTGTATTCACAAGGGTTTCATATCAATAGTGGCGATTAGACCTAGACTAAACACTGCTCTTGTCCTTTCTAGCAAAGCTTAAAAATCCAAATGGAAAGAATCCATTTCCAAGTAACTTAATTATATCTCAGAACAAAGCTCAGGGATATTTATAGGAATACAAATATATCTACCACCCAACAAGCTAGAATTCACAATGTCTGGCATCTAATTAAAAATTACTAGGCAGAAAAGGCTATATACTATATGACTTCAACTGTATGACATTCTTGAAAGGCAAAACATGGAGACAGTAAAAACATCAGTGGTTTCCAGGGAGTTGTGAAGAGGGAGAGATGGGTGGAGGACAGAGGATTCTTTTAGGGCAGTGAAGCTTTTCTGAGTGACACCATAATGGTGGATATATTTGTCCATATCTGTAGGATGTACTATACCAAGAGTGAGCCCTAATGTGAACTATGGACTTGGAGTAATAATAAGGTGTCAACGTGGGTTCATCAGTTGTAACAAGCATTACCACTCTGGTGGGGATGTTGATAATGGGTGTAACTATGTATGTGTAGGGGCAGGAGGTATATGGAAAATCTCCGTTCTTTCCTCTCAATTTTGCTGTGGACCTAAAGAATACTTTAAGAAATTACCAGGCATTCGAAGAAGCAGAAAAATACGCATAAATGAGAAGAAAAATCCAATAAAAATGAAGCTAGAAATGACACAGATGATGGGATGAGTAGATAAGATGATTAAATAGTTATTATAACTGTATTTCATATATTCTAGGAACCACAGGAAATACTGAATATGATAAGTAGAGCGTGGAATAGCTGTTGTGGCTCAAGAAGTGTTGACCTCAAGATGAGCAATATCATGGGGTTCAGTGAAGCACAATTTGGGAATTATTGTTGTAAGTTATTGGAAACTCAATACTGAAGGCTTTTCAGCAAAATTTGGCTTAAAAGTTTTCGTATTTTATGAAGATTGAATAGGTAGTAGGATGCAGGACAGAACTGATGGAGAGAATGAGACCAATGATTTCAGGCACATGGTAACCTTAATACAACAGAGAAATGAGAAGTTTTGACCTAAAACCAGTGGGAATACAAAGAAAGATCTTATTTTTTAAAATTAATATGTATGATAACATGACTGATCCCAGAGAAGCTGGTGGAGCCCCAGGGAGAGTTTTCTTTCCTTTGTGAAGGGCAGGGTGTGCTAGAATGGGTTCATCCCAAGATAGTGGCCTGTGTGTTGGAAAGTGTCATGGTTCCTGCAGCCTCTGGTTAGCTCTCACTAGCTCTCGAAAATCTGGGGGAGAGGGTGTAAATCTCAAGCTGGGCCATACCCATATTTGCAGCAGGTCTCCAAAGTAAACAGCCTCTGACATGCTGAAATAATGTAGGAAAGGGAGAATATTTTTAAAACATCATAAAAGTAAAATATAAATATTTTGTTACTAAGAATGACTATTAGCAACAGGTCTTGCCATTTGAAAAATTAGAACTTGACACTTAGAGAGGTTAAGTAATTATCCTAAGGGTACAATATTAGAGTAGAAACTGAAAGAGGTAAAAACTGAAAAACCACTATCAGGTGTGTGGGAGAGCTCCCACTCTCATCTCAGAATACACAATTTTTAGGGAAGCAAGGAAAGGGAGGGGAGCGTGGGGAGAAAGTAGCTAAAGTTTTCTCAAGAAACGTAAAAGAGAAATGAGATAGAAATTAAAATAGAACATTTTCCCTGTATAGAGATCCTAAATGTTGTCATTTGTGAAGGTTAAATTTTTGTCTTAACTTGAGTGGGCCACGGGGTACTCAAATATTTGCCAAAGATTATTTTCGGCATATCTGTGAGGGTGTTTTTGGCTGAGGCCAGTCTGCTCTGCTCAGTCTGCCAATGAACTTTTCTTAAGAAAGGTAAAAGAGAAAGGAGATAGAAATTGGTAGACTGAGCAAAGCAGATTGGCCTCACTAATATGGGCAGACCTTATCCTATCAAAACATCTGAATAGGACATAAGGCTGACCTCCTGAGAATAAGAAGGAACTCATCCTGCCTGACTCCTTAGAGCTGGGACATTAATCTTTTCTGGTCTTTGGACTCTGACTAAAACATTGGCTATTCTTGAGTCGCTGTTTTTCCAGCTTTCAAACTGGAACTTCCGCGGTCAGATCTGCTGGTTCTCACCCTGAAGCTGCACATTGGCCCTCTTGTATTTGCATCTTGCCAACTGAAGACATTGGGACATTTTTTTTTTATACACTGTAGGCACTCCATAAGTGTTTGGAACTTTTATTCCAATTATATAAAAATAAAATCCATTTGAACAGAAACAGAACTGTAGAAGATAATAACAAATAATAGTAACTGGTTACCTTTTAAAATAATATGAGGTAGCACTAGAAGTGTTTTTTATGCCATTCTGTGATTGAAACTTTTCTATAATGAACATATAGAAATATGTTTTATAATCAGGAAAGGAATATCAATGTTTTCTTTAATGCTGAGAATTTCTGTTAATATTTCTGACATTTAACAAAACATCTGTCATTGACATTCTACAAATAATACCATCCAATAATGTCCCAATACTTTCTTCTTGTGAAGAGAGTTTATATATCTTTTTGACTTCTGTAATATTTGTTATTTCAGGAAGATTTTCCAGAGAAACCTGACGACCTTCTACTTGAGATATCAGGTGTTCTTGATTTATTTGTTTTTCTCCCTCTTCAATGTAAACAATTAGAATTGAAGTGTCATTTCCTGAGATACCAAATTTTTTCAAAGCCTCTGATATATTGTTATTTGGGGAAAGATTGTACATAATTTCAGCAGATAGAGTTCTTGTCTTCATTTCTCCCAGACTGTAGAGGTGAACTGCTTTGTTTGCTGCCACAAGTATCTGAAATGGATCGACAGTCACTGTAGGATTTATCAGTGATCCATCGATGGTACCTTCCATGGCTTCTCTTCTCAAGTCTCCTGCATTTTTTACACCTTTAAATAACAGAACGGTCACCCATCTGGTCTCCAGTGCGTCTCGGAAGATCTGAGCCAGTTTCTTATAATAACTCTCTCACTCTGGCTCTCTCTGTACACACATACAATACACCCCGTTGCTTCTAATTCTCTGGAGAAACTTGACTAATATGTCATCTCAGAAAGACTTTCCTACTATTGATTTAGGAAGTACTATAGTTCTTTAAGATCAAGGGTATGCAACCCTTATTGTTTAAAAGAGGGCAGTAAAATTAAAGGTCAGAGGTGTACCAGAGAATACCATCAAGGTCATGCTTATCTGAATGATGAACTCATCAAGAATAACTGTCAAACCACCATATTGGCTACTGAGCCTGTAGTTCCACTTTACCATTGTTTCAACAACTGGTAACTGGAATGTATTCAGGGTTGAAACATGATGGTGGTGATTATGATGATAGAATTAAATAAAATAAACTTTTCCATGGACCAGGATCCTTATTTATGAGATAAATTTGTTATTTCTAGTCTCAAATTATGTATTTTTTTGGACTGTACTTTCATTTGATTCAGATATAAATATTTTAAAAATAATAAAACGTTTTTTTCTTTTCAGGAGTACTGGCAGGAGGATAGGCAAAATGGGGGAGACCAAGTTTGCTTTGAAGAGCAGACTGTCCTTGAGAAGGTCCCAACAGAATGGAGTAGAAACAAGTTCAGGCAGAAGTGCATGCCAGAATTTCAGGGCAGTCTGGCACAAAGGGAAGACAAGAAAAACACTGAATTTATGCTCTGAAGACCTGATCTCCCCTAACTATCTATTATTTACTAGCTCTAAGATCCTGGGCAGTTTACATAGTCCTTCTGAGCCTTAGATTGTCTGTAATTAAATTATTAAATGAAAATGTGATCACCACACTCACCTGATAATTTCTGATGATCAAACAAGAGAATGTATAAAAAGATTAAGGTGGTTTGTTAAAGGCAGAGTCCTACACAAATATTAGTTATGATGATCAACCAGGGAGAGATACACTGGAATCTCCAATGGGCAAGCAAAAGATTTCAAAGTACTGGACAGGATGCCAGACTGTAAAAATGGAGCTGGGACTATATACCTTGAAAGACCTGGGGACTACACAAGGCCCTAATCATGGAGGAATTGGAGTTTTGTAAAGGAAACCAGAATACATGTGGCAGGACAGGAATCCATTTATCAGGACTTGGTTTTAATTTAGGATTTCGTTAAAAGACTAAAGCCTAGGTAATGGAATCTGGACATCCAACTACGACTGGCTAGACAGCAAGTTCAACAAGGTGAAACCGTCACCCTGCCTTCTCCTGCAGGGGGGTTAAATATCTCCAGATAAAAGCCAGGACTGACCTCAGAATATTGAGACTGAATCTATAGATGAAGGGAAACAATGTATAACCAAGTAGATCTTTACCATAATCATTAAAAAAAAATACTTACTCTAAAAAAGATTGGCGTATACATTTGAAGAGCTTTTCTGAAAGATTCCTGCTTTCCATTCATGGGTCACTACCAGGCATTTCTTGTCATTAATCTAAGGAGTCCTGTGAAATACATGATCGTTCTCCAGCTGCTGCACAAATGATTGCACTGCTCAGTAGCAGAATTCTAATGAGATGCCTAGGTTTTTAAAGAAAGCTGAATGAGAGTAATCACTAAGACTCACATCAGAAAACTCCAATTGCATATTATAATAAAACACAATGTCAGCCATATTAATTCTTTTTTCTTGAAAACAGAAAATTAGACCAGTCTATGTGATAGTATATTTTCCTCTAATATTTTTATTCCTAGAAGGATGTCTGACAAATGCTCTATCAAACCAATGGCATTTAAACCTAAATTAAAACGATTCGGTCTTTCATAAGTTCAAAAAAAGTGAGGTATTCAATTATCACTAAATGAGACACTGGTTTTTGTCTTCATTTTTATCACAAAGATATATGGTAAAAATAGTCTCATAATTGTCATCTTTACAAGTTGTTCCTGAAGCTTAAGAAAAATGATACAAGAAATCATTAGGTCAGGTTCAGTGGTTCATGCCTGTAATCTCAGTGCTTTGGGAGATCAGAGCAGGAGGATCATTTGAGGCCAGGAGTTCAAGACCAGTCTGGGTAACATAGCAGGATCCCATCTCTACTAATTTTTTTTTTTTAATTAGCTGGGCATGCTGGCATACACCTGTAGTCCCAGGTACTTGTGAGACTGAGGGCAAGAGAATCACTTGAGCCCATGGGTTGAGGCTACAGTGAGTTGTGATCACACCATTGCACTCTATGACACAGTGAGACATTGTCTCTTAAACCAGTATGAAAATAAACCCTCACTGTTTCTGAGAAGCAACTTTTGATGATGTGCTTGGTATTTCAGTTACTTCCGTATTCCCACTTTGTGGAAATTTAACATAATACACAGCTCCTCACAGCATCCAACACCAACTGGGGTCTATTATCTCAAAATAGGTGTGGAAGAAGACACCACGGCACTGGTATTTTAAGACAGCAAATTTGAAAACATGGTACCAAGATCAGGGCCATTAACACTGCCTGGGAACTTGTTAGAAATGCAAATTCTTGAGCTGTCCCAGACCTACTAAATTAGAAACTCTGAGGATGGATGTCTTAGTTCCATCTGGGCTGCTACAGCAAAATACCATGGACTGGGTGGCTCATAAACAACAGAAATTTAGTTCTCACAGTTTTGGTTGCTGAGAAGTCCGAGATCAAGGCGCCAGCAGTTTTGGTGTGTGATGAGGGTCTGCTCTTTGCTTCATAAATGGTATCTTCTCACTGTGTCCTCATGTGGTAGTGGGGGCATGGGTCTCTCCTGAGCCTCTTTTATAAGGGCACTAATCCCATTTATGAGGGCTCCACTCTCATGACCTAATTTCTTCCCAAAGGCCCTACCGCCAAATATCATCACATCTGGAGTTAGGATTCAGCACACAAATCTTGTGGGAATGCAAACATTCAGTCTATAACAGTGTGTCTGCTGGGTACCAGTAATCTGTAGTTTAATAAGACCTCCGGGTGATTTTAATATACACTCAAATTTGAGGACCACTAAGGAGATTTTAACAATGTGAGAGCCTAGTAAAAAGCTATAGAGTACTTTTTTGAGGGGGGAGGTTTGTACACTAAGGTAAGTTTATTGAGAAATAATATTAACTATTTTGACTTGTTAGTTAATAAAACAGGCCACCCCCAAAAACCAAAACAAACAAAAACCACACACACATCCAAATCTGACATGAGTATCCGCTAACCAAGACATCCCCTAACTCCCAATTCAGAATAGGTGGTAAGGGTTATTTAAATGCATATTGACATTCCCTTTGTAGTTTTTGTTTCTGAACAAATTGCATTAGAAAAACAGTCGCATGTTTAGGCTTGGTCAGGTGGCTCACCTCTTTAATGCCAGCACTTTGGGAGGCCGAAGTGGGCGGATCTCCCGAGGTCAGGAGTTTGAGACCAACCTGGCTTTCTCCTCGTAGACACTGACATGCACATTACTGGTCCTGTCAACTGAGTGGCCGATTTGAGTTCAGCAGAGCTGTCTTCCTTCATGGGATCCAAGGGCTTCCTGGGGAAGAAGAGGAGCTTGGAGTAGTACTCCTTCAGCCAGAGTTGCTGGCCTTTAAGGACTCACCAGCCTTATTCTAATGTCTCTTTGGATCCACAGATACCAAAGGTCGGGGTCACCATATGGATGCTGGTCACATTAACTCATCTAAGCTGAAGCTCCTGCTAGCTCATACTTTGGTGTGATACCTTCCCGTGGGATGTATTACTATGGGCTGGATGGGTCCAGATGCAGGGTGATAGGCGACAGTAGTGTGCTTTTGCCTGCTGGGCCTTGTATCTGTGGATCTTTTGGGTCACCTGGTTGAGCTGAACAGCCACTGGCCACTCCTTGTGGAACTGAGACATTAGGATCATGCCATTCTGACAGGGTGCCATAGCTGCATGTGGTCCTCCTCTGAAGAACGGTTGACTGGAAGGGCGCTCAAGAATTTTAAATTCCCAAGCTGTTCACACAGCCTCTAGTAATTTGTCAAAATTACAGTTTAAGTGTTCCTACCGGAGCTTCAGGTAAGTCGATCCATACTCAACTGTATTCTCTACAGTGCTCAGAACGATGATTTGTCCTGTAACCTCAATTCTATGATGGATCTAAAGTAAGCCACTAATTTTTCAGTTTGTCCAGCTTTTTTTTCTTGTGAGAGCGAGAGACAAGCTCTTAGCATGTTAAAACAGAAAGTCCATGTATCTTTTAATTTTTGAATTTTGTGCCATGTGCTCATATTCTCTCTTACTTTCCTCTGGCTCCCCACTTTCCTAAATAGAGAATCACACAGTTGGTAAAATTAAGGTGATACTATTGTTTGTAGAATGAGGGAAGATTTAAAAGAGGCATAAAGAAATAAATGTGATTAGTATGTAATGATCACAGAACTAATCCTACAAAGAAACACAGACTGGAAATATCAGCAGTATGATCATAAGTTGGGTGGATCACATCCCACATCTACCCAGGCAACATGGCAAACAAAATATTATGTTCCTTGCATCAGGCTACAACATCAATAATCTAAGTGTCTTACTTAGCAGCTCAAGGATAGCCGCAATTCAAGTCATGGCTTCAGTCAGTCTTATCTGAAGGGTATTTGCATGAAATGTCATTCACACTAAATGGTTCAGGGTGACCTTGGTTATTACTCTCTCTGTTTTTACACAGCCAGCTTCACACATCTGCTATCAAGTTCTCTCTCCTCTGGATTCTATACAAATTCCTAAGATTCTTGTAACCCTTCCTTGATATTACAATTAAAGGCCTGTATTTTCTTTCTCTCTGAAAACATAACGCATACATCTGTACTTCGAGGTAGATAACACTAAGTGTTTTTGGACTTTTAAGAGGCTACTACAGAATGATATTTCTAAGTAGAAATACTAACATAGATTAGGAAAACTTTTAAATCTGTGAAAAGAGCTGGGAATATAATGGGATCCAAGTCTTAGATATGTTGTTTTACTACTAAAATTTGGCAAACTTTTCTTAAGTACATCTTTTCCTCATAATCTCTTCCAGGAAATTAAAGAAATAACAATGTACAACCTCACAATGAATTTTGCAGGTACAGTCATCAGAAAATACTATGACATCCAAGAGAAGGCTAATTTGAAGTATGAAAAATGCTTCTTTCAAGAAGAGATGTTAATTTAACACTGCTTATAATTCAGACCTAATAGAAATAAGTCTGAGCAATCCAGACTAGTCTAGTCAATAAAATTGTTACTCTCGTTGTAGACAATAATTTAAAGATTTCACTCCTAATCTCTCCATCCTCCACTACTTGCAAAAGTAACAGAGAATCTTTATTGTTAATTTTACTTTCTCAATTGGCTACACGTTTCATGAAGAGAAAGAAGATACCAAGGACAAAGGACATAAACCTTTTTCATTCCTTCTCCAAAAGAGAGAGAAACCATTATTGAAAATCTACTAAAAGCCATGAGCTTTATTTGTATTTTTTTCAACTTTTTTCTAGTAAGTATGTATTATCCTCATTTTACAAAAGAATAAAAGAGATTAAATAAAAACTTTCCGGCCGGGAACGGTGGCTCACGCCTATAATCCCAGCACTTTGGGAGGCCAAGGTGGGTGGATCACGAGGTCAAGAGATCGAGACCATCTTGGTCAACATGGTGAAACCCCGTCTCTACTAAAAATACAAAAAATTAGCTGGGCAGGGTGGTGCGGGCCTATAGTCCCAGCTACTCGGGAGGCTGAGGCAGAATTGCCTGAACCCAGGAGGCGGAGGTTGCGGTGAGCCGAGATCGCACCATTGCACTCCAGCCTGGGCAACAAGAGCGAAACTCTGTCTCAAAAGAAAGAAAAAAAAATACAAATAAAAACTCTCCTTAGGTAGACCCAGAAGTCAAATCCAGATGTGGTTACCAACCCAATGTTTTAAAACATGGTTTTAAAAAGTTAACGTAATATGGTAATTTTATAAACCAAAGAAGTCAATTATAATTTCATTAGGCAGAGGTTACCACTGCTCACGGTTTCTATATACATATATATATGTACACACACACACGCACACGTGTAAAAAAATCTTAAAGATATTCAGATATCTGAATCATTGTTTACAAATAGTTTGGTTTACTTTTTTTCACTTAACACACAAAAAATCTCTTCCCAAGTACTTATATATATTTCAGTAACTTTTTAAAAAGAATGCATATTATTTTACATGACTGTACCTTATACTGATTAACCAATCTCCTATTATTGCATATAGTTTCCAATTTTGTGCCATATTACTGTACATAAATCTTAGTGTACAACCTCATTTCTTTCAGATATATTGCCAGAAGTGAAACTTCTGTGTGTTTCATAACAATACATGCTTATTTAACAGTCACATCAGTTTGTGTTTGAATTATGGGGCCTCTCTTCTGAGAATGAATCTTTCTTCACACAACAGGCTTGGGCTCACTGTTCTTTCAGAATTCTCTCAGCTCTAACATGCTGATTAACTGTGGGTATTACACAAATTAATATGCGGTAGTTGATAGTAGCCTTTACTTTGAAGTAAAATGAAAACCCTGCCTAATTGAAGATGAACAGTGTTGTCTTTTGCTAGGGCTAATTATAAGCCTTTTTATTTGAAGTTTGAGAAAAGCATAAGGCTACTCTAACACATTATATCTTTTGGCTCGTTGAGATAAGTGAGATGAAATATAATACTTACAATAACAGTGAATATAATTTAATGGAGAGGCAAAATCATGTTCACTACTAAATACCTGCCAAATGCTCAGCTACTTAGTGGAAAATTAGTTTTTAATGACATAATGAAAGTGAAAGCCAATCCACTCTGTTGACTTTGAAAATGCCTCTCTCTAATGTAGTAGTGGACATCATGCAAAAAGTCCTTTGCTATGTATCCTGGGATTATCCATCATATTTTGAGGTATTGAGAAAATATAGATACTGGGTCCTTAGGGAAGTAGACAACTACAATACTACGTTTAGTTGGAAAGAAACTTTAGTTTCTCCTTCTTGGATTTACTTACTCCTTCTTGCAATTATGAAGGGATACTTGCAGCCCAACAGGCAAAATAGCTGGGTTTTAAGAGTTATGATACCTCTTATTCATGGTTAAGTGATAAGTTTTCTCTGGGGTAATTTTGAAATGTTTAAATGAACACAAGCATAAGTGAAACAGGCCTCACAGAGGCATCTGACGCCAGGAAGAAAGTCAATTCACTACAAATGCTTAACCAAGTGAGGCCGTATAAGGTTTCAAAGCGATTTGCATGTTCAAAATAAACCATCAGTTTTTGAGTTCACAACTTTTCCTCTCAATTTATGAAGTACACAGGCATACACTTTCAAGTATTTATCAGGCTTATCATTCACACTATAAAAAAATCAATGAAACATCTGCCTTTAAAAAAAAAGGCCATATTTTATATACACACATACAAAGTCTGGGGTGCAGTGATGCAATCACAGCTCACTGCACTGCAGCTTGAGGGACATGCCACCACACCCAGTTAATTTTTTTAAAAATTTTTTTGTAGAGACAAGGGTGTCACTTTGTTGCCCAGGCCAGTCTGGAACCCCTGCCTCAAACGATATGCCTGCCTAGGCTCCCAAAATTACGGGAATACAGGCGTAAGCAGTAACCAAGTTTTAATTTATTTTTAAAAGTTAATTATCTAGAATGTAAACTCAGTGAAGCCTGGAAATGTACAATTATTTTCTTAATCCAAAATACTTTATTATGAGTAATAAACATTTACTATTCATTGGTGATCACTGAGAGCCAAGGTAGTGATGACCCAAATGAATCGAATCTCATTATTTAAATAAGCAATTCTCAATTTAGAAGCTTGGGGTAGAAAAACAATATCCAAAGGGTCTTGCAGTTAAAGAAAATCAGTATGCTTAACGTACATATTTATTTTCTTAAAGTATAGAAAGCAAATCTCACATGCTTTGCTTGTAAGAATACGCACGAAAAGTACACGCTATATTAACTGTAAAACTATACGTACTATATTTTAATTTTGTGAATGATGTAAGTGATTTCATGTAGACTACTATTTTCAGTACATTATAACATTACCAAAATGTTCAATTTTCTACCTTTAAGTAAGAAAATAACCACTTGGCAACCAACCATCAAATTAAGAACTGATTCAAGTAAGAATTAGCAACAATACTAAAGCCAGCCGATGCAAGGTGGAAAAGAACCAGCATATATGCAAGTATCTGCCCACGAATGACTTATTACTTCCAAAGGAAAAAGTAGAATGTTACACTGAAGAAACTATTGTATTGGTGCAAGCAAATGGGTGAATATACTGATGCTGACAGTCAGTTTTTCCATATGACTACTTAAGCAAGAATTATCACATTGTTTGAGGGTTAGCTACGTAAGCAGAGGTTAATACACATGTTGACAACAGTATGCAGGAGCGGAGAGATGGACCTATATAGTTACAAGGTATTTACATTTTTATGTTAAGTGGTACAGTATTAACTCTAACTGGACTGCAATAGATTTTGCCAAAATTGATTTAAAAAGCAAGACCTAAATATATATTTTTTTATAAGTCATGAATTTTACATATAAACATACAGGTTAGAAGTAGACTAATAGAAAAATATGTATCAGGACAACAGAAAACATGAAAAAGATTAAGTGGCTATATTATCATCAAATAAAGTAGACTTCAGATAAAGATTACCAAGTATGAAAAGTCATTTCTTAATAAGTAAATGTAACATCTAACAGCAAAATTTAGACTAGTTTTGTAAGTACGTTTTATTGGAACACAGCCATGACTATTAATTTATGTATTGTGTGCTTTTGTGCCACAATAGCAGGGTTGAGTTGCTATGACAGAAACTATGTCTAAAAAGCCTAAAACATTTACTATCTGGCCCTTTACAGAAAATGTTTGCTAACTACTGCAAAAGATTAAGTCACAAACAGGACACGTGTTTGGTACAATGACATATGCCAGTAGCAAAGTTGTAAATATAGTTCATAACTATCCGAAGGGAGGAAAAGAATAAGTAGATAGATCCTAAGAGACATTGACCTGATCACTTCCTAAGACACAGCGTACAGTTGCATTATTTTATTTTTATACTGACATTAAATTAACGACCAATTTAGTATAAACTTCAATCAACCAAATTTTATCAGAAGTGTCTCCTTTGTTCAAGTGGCCAGTGTAAACAGCAAAAGGAACTGTGTTGATGTATACTTTGGAGATAAACTCTCCCCAGTACAATTTTAAGAGGAAGTGAGTAACCCTAATGTAAGATACACTTCCTAAGTTTTGTTTTTTCCATTAGGAAATGGGCATGCATACACACATGGAAAACCCTGACTATGGTGGTGGTTCAAATTTGATTAAAATTATTTTTTAGAAAAAAAAATTTAGACACACTTTTGTTTTTTTTTAAATGAGGTACACAGTCCAACAAGAAAAGAAGTAACCAATATAGTAAAGGTATTAAGAAAAACAGAAACAATATGAAAGGTGCTACAAGAGACAGAAAGTGGTAAAGGATGAAAATTGGGACTCACCTTCAAAGCTGCAGTATGGACTTTCCTCTTTAGGGAGAAAAGATGAGAATAAACAGGTTAAAAATATATTTAAAAAGGGCTACTAATATATACATGGAGTCACTACGTAGATCTTCAAGAAAAGGCAAATTGAGTTCTTTAAATAAACACATACTTATGAGAATGGGATAGATCTGTATTTTCTAATAGGGTGGTTATGAAAACTAAGATGAAATAAAATTTTTAATTTTTTTTTTCAGTTGCACAGGCCACATTTCAAGTGCTCAATGCCCACTTGTAGCCACTGGCTATGGTACTAGACAGGACAGAACATTGCCATCATCACAGAAAACTGTATAGGGCAGCACTAGGACAGGCTGCTTCAAGATGTCTAAATCGTAAAGATAGATTGACTTTCCCTAGAGTTTTTGATTCATTCATTTATTTCCTTAACTTTTTGTACCTTTTATTTTATAGAACCTTCTGTTCTTCAGTCATATCTACCCACTTAAACTTTTTTATATTTGGTTGAAAATGCCATTTCAAAAGAGAAATAGAATGTACCTCCTCTTTAGAACAAGTAGTAATTTAAAATGTTTTACTCTGCATACTTGTTAAAAATTTCCAGAACTGTACAAAAAAAAATCTAAATTCACTTAAAGAGATACATGGTGAAGAAAATCAAGTAAAATTAATGACTGTAAATGGTAGAGCAATAAATTCAATCAAAATATTAATGTAAAAACTTTTCTTACACATAGTAGTTAGAGCATATGATTCAAATGAAAAGTACAGGACTCTTATACTTAAGAAAAAACCACAAAGATATTTAACCTATCCTTTAAAATTAAATGAATGAATTAAAAACTATTTAAGACAACATATTAAATGCAATTCATATCAGAATTAACGGTAAATAATATTTTTCTGAATATGTAGCAGGAATAGAATCCAAATTATCCTTATGTCAATCATGAGAAACTTTAATTATAGATGATATGGACCACTATGCAACATTTTAAAAAAAGAGAAAAGAAACTAAAGATACCTTACAAATAATTCTACAAGCTATTAGATTTTTTATGAGACAACTATGGTGTTAAATGTAATAATTTAAATGTAATAGTGTAACACAATAACAGTTTTCTAGTTTTTATACAGTTGATTACCATTGCATTTTTTTCAAATTTAGAAATTATGTCATGTCATGCAGTAATAAAAATTATTTTAAATTCATTAATATTTTCTTTTGTGCTTCTTTAGAGAAAAACTTCTCTAGCAGTATTATACCTTCTCTCTTTTTACTAATAATTATATTTTAAATTTATAATCTTAGCATTGTTATATCAAGAAAGTTTGGTCTTAAAGATCTAAATAATCACAAATGAGAATAATTAAGACAGGCAAAACAGAATAGAAAGCAACTAAGAAAAAGGAAAGAACCTGAGAAAAATAATAGAGGCTAAAAAGGATGTTCTACGTAAGAACTAAAGAAAGCCTTAAGCAATAAAAGCCAGAAACAAAAAGGAAAACTTAAAAAATTAAATTTCTAATTCAAAAAAGTCAAATAAAAAACATGCATCAGATCAGTTCTTTACTAAATTAGATAATAATATTTTATTGTTGTGAAGTCACAAATCCCCTACCCGCCCAGCTCCAATAGATAAATACATCAAAAATATCATTAGATTACAAATTCCAAAACGCCATAATGTCTATATACTGAGATTCACAGTTTCCGGATTTATTTTTCCACCACTTAAACTGTGGATCATTGCTATCATGTGGGACTGTTTGTTCAATTCTTCTTGCTGAAGTTTCACCAAGGACTCTTTCTCTTCCAAACAACCTTCTAATTGTGCCTTTTGAACCTCTAGGGAGGAAGCCTAAGGAATTGGGGTTGGAGGGGGAGGAAGAATTGAGAAGAAAAATAACTTTAATATTTTCTCTATACAGATATTTTAAGATGCTTTTTTTATTTGTATGATAACCATTTCAAGACACACTATAAATATTATCCTTCAGTTAATTCAATTATATGGTAAGTTTAAAATAAATAATCATTGAACAATGTAGAATTAATAAATTAATAATTTATAATTATAAATAATTTATAATAAATTAATAAATTAAGAATACACTTTCAACTTGTCTTAAGTTAATGCCAGCAGCTGAAATTTTGCAGAAAATGCCACATACTACATATTAAAATTACTAATAAGATCATCATATTAAAGAGGAACCAGAAAAATTGTAAATGCAGTACTAAATTTTATGCTTCTGTTACTCACGCTCTGTACTAGATCAGTGTTTTAATCCTAGTCTGTTCTCATCTTCCTGGTAGTAAATGAGCCAGAAAGTACAATTCATGGCTACCACTCAAGGTATGCAACCATGGTAATGTAGAAAGAACCATGGACTCCTATTCAGAATATATTAACTATTGATTCACTTATTAGCTGTGTGACTTTAGTAAGTAACCTCAGACCCAGTTTCTTCAGCTGTAAGTTGAAAATATTTATTAATATTTACATATTATATAATACTTGTTAAAGTGAAAATTATACAGCTACATATATATGACATCGAGAACTGGAAACCCCTTTCTGTATTCTTTGCACAGTTGAAAGTAGTAAGTGCTGACACAAAGTATCTGTTTAATGGTTTATTTTAGGAAATACATTGTGAAAACCTAGTAACAAACGATACTCAAGTGGCTCTGAGATCCTAATATCTTCTAAAAAATGTGCTAAAGAAATAGATCATTCATTTACCCATATTCACCCTGTTCACAACAGACTTTTTCATTTTACTGAAAATGAGAAATCGAACAGATTCTTACGTTAATGCTCAACTCTTTTCTTATCTGTTCTGTTCTGCTTAATTCTTTTCTAAGGATATCAACGGTTTCTTCCGTATCTTCCTTTTCTTTTTGTATGGTTTTAATCTTTTCTTCTTGTACTTTTGTTTTTTGATGCAAATCTTAAAAAAAAAAATCAGTCAGCTATATACTCAGAGGTATTACACTGACTACTCTGAAAAGGGTTAGTAGTTACTATAAGAGCAAAAGAAAAATAACTAGAACAACGAAGAGAAACTTATCACAGTATTCTATAGAAAATACCAAATCTCCGTGTCTTCCCTCCATCCTCTGTTCTAAATATAATATGCTTTATAGGTGAAGGGCAATCTCAGAGCATAAGGGTAAGAAAAGGGAGATCTGCAAGTATGCAAAATTGTATAGGTAGGCGCCTGCACTGTAGGGCAAGTGAGAACAAAACTGTTTTCCTGGATCATTCCTAATATACCATTAAGAGGCTAGCAGCTAAAAGTTACCTAATACTGCCACCTGCTGTTATGTTCCTTTAACGTTTTATTATTTTGAAAAGTGCAACACATAATCTTAAGTGATTTAATGAAGAAATAGAAAACTAAACACTCCAAGTTTTCACTTGTAAGTGGGAACTAAACATTGAGTACACATGGATACAAAAATGGAACAAACAGAAACTGCCGACTAGAGTTGGGGGCACTTGAAAATTACCTATTGCTACCTATTTGGTACTATGCTCACAACCTGGGTGATGAGATCCATACCCCAAACCTCCATGTCAGGCAATATACCCAGTGATACAGACCTGAACACATGCTCCCGATTCTAAATGTTGAAATTATTAAAAAATTAAATGTGCAACCATTTTTTTTTTTTTTGAGACGGAGTCTCACTTTGTCACCTGGGCTGGAGCGCAGTGCAGTGAACACAGCTCACGGCAGCCTTGGCATCACAGGTTCAAGTGACTCTCCCATTTTAGCCTCCTGACTAGCTGTAACTACGGGTGCCCACCACCTGGCTAGATTTTTGTCTTTTTTGTAGAGATGGGGTTTTACCATGTAGCCTAGGCTGGTCTCAAACTCCTGAGCTCAAGCAATCTGCCCACCTTCATCTCCCAAAGTGTTGGATTACAGGCATGAGACACTATGCCTGGCCAATTTCCTATAGCTCCTATATTTCAAAAAAAGGTACTGCTTTTTCAGCTTGATCAAACTGAAATGCTTTTGTAAAATATTATGGCAAGAAAAGGGAAGAAGTCATTTCAAATGTGATTAAGGTTTAAAACAATAAGGGAAGTAGAAAATAAAAAAGCAAATGAAACTACTCATGCTTCCAGCAGAAATACATTAAAAATAGACAATGTATTAAATAAGAAGCCACTTACTTGCTAGCTTATATTCTCTGTCTGTTAGCTGATTCTGTAACTCTTTTCTCTGTTCTTCTTTCTCTATTAATTGGGCAATACTCCTGAAGTTATTTAAAAAAGAAGAAAACATTAATGACCATATGTCATTTTTGACTTTTTCTCCCTAACAAATATTTTAAAACAAAATTTCTTTTTTTATTTTTTTAAGATGGAGTCTCGCTCTGTCACCCAGGCTGGAGTGCAATGGAATGATCTTGCCCTCACTGCAATCTCCGCCTCCTGGGTAGCTGAGATTACAGACGCCCACCAAAATGCCCAGCTAATTTTCATATTTTTAGTAGAGATGGAGTTTGGCCATGCTGGCCAGGCTAGTCTCGAACTCCTGACCTCAGATGATCCACCACTCTGGTCTCCCAAAATGGTGGATTATAGGTGTGAGCCACCATACCCGGCCTTTAAAACAAAATTTCTATGAACAGCAATTGCCTGCAAATTCCACCAAATGTATATCTTATATCTAAAATAACTAATAATTCTCTTAATTTTATCAATAAAAACGTGTTCTATATAGAAAGAGAATCATTTTATTTTGAAGAACCGCACATATTCAGAATATAAGGGTAGAGATTTTACTTTTCATTTTGTTCCTTAAGTGACTCATTCAACTTTTTCACTGTCTCAATTTGTTTATTCAGAGAATCACATGTGATCTGTAAATCTTTATTCTTCTTTTCAGTACTTTCATTTCTGAAAAGACAAGAAAATGAGTTGGCACAATTATGGAGGAAAATATATGAAGGAGAAAAAGAAACTCGCAGTGTTTTCTTTACAATTTCTTCTAACCAAATTATGTATGCTGAAAGAGAAGGAATGTTACGAACAGACAAGACAGAAATAGAATTTGATCAACTCTAAAAGGCCGTAAATACATGTTTTAACTATGTTTTGGTTGACTGATGTAAAAACTACAACGAAATAGAAATGTGTGCAACATTATCCTAATATTTATGGATATAAAGCTTTATTTTACAGATGATATTGCCTTACATAATTTGCTCTAAGTAAGTTTAGGGTTCTTTATTTGTCTCCTTAACACTCTGCATCTAATGGTCTTATTTTATCTGCAAAGTAAACAGAAAAAATCCTTTCTAAAGTGATACTTTGATACTCAACTACCATAAGCATAAAATGTCATTTTTATTTCACTAAGTACCAAGATTTTTAAAAAGCAACCCAAAAACCAAACCAAACAAACCAAAGCAACAAACAAACAAAACCAACAGCCAAATGTGGCCAGCAGTTTTTGTATATAATCCATACAGGATTTTTAACAATCTGAGTTTGAGCACCTTTAGAGAGGCCGGACCATTACAATGACCTTTTCCCTAGCCAGCTTCGTTTATGTTACACATTTGTCCATTCAAGGAATTTCAACTTTTGGCTCCTAAATCACTAGCTGGAACATAAGCAGGTCTTAGAAACCACATATCTTTCTTGGACCCTGCTTATATTCTCTTCGGTTCTCTATGTGAGACATAGCAGGGACCCCCTTTTTCTGGAGGCCTGAGGACCTCAAACTTGGAAATAAAGGAAAATCCTGAGTTCATTCAAGGGAAATTCCAAGGTCTAGCAGGCCCTAGAAGTAAATAAGTAACTTGTTAAATAGGAAGGTAATAGTAGCCTAAATCAATAGTTAACAAACTTAAGAGTACCAGAGAGGCTTGATTCCTTACAGAGCTTAAGGATAACAACTTAACATATGTCCCTGAGTCGTATTTCTGAGACCTGGACCCTCCCTGAGAAACCCCCTGACCAGATCCATTGGCAAGTAGACCTCAGATAAGGGGGAAATGAAGGCTGAATTGTAACCATTGTCCTTTGTTCTAAGTTACCTTCTCAGGGTCTTGAAGAAAGTCACTCTCCCTAGCTAGTTAACATTTTTCTACTCATCCCAAATTTTTAAACAAAGCTGCTCTACCTTAACAAACTACAAATCAAAAAATCTCTGAGTCTACCTATGACCTATAAGCCCCTGCTTCACAATATCCTGTCCTTTAAGCTTAAACCAATGTGTAACCTTTAACTATTGATTTATGATTTTTGCTGTAACTTTTCTGAAATTTACCCCTACCTTTAAAGCTATTGGAGAGGTCGGGATTTCAGCATTTTGCTGCCTGGTCCTCTTTACTTGGCACCCTGCAATAAAAACCTTTTTTTCTATCACTGCAAACCTTGGTGCAGATACCTGGTTTTACTATACGGAGCAAGCAGACCCCATTTCAGTTCTGTAACTTATTTTCTTCACTGCTGAAGTTCTCAACCTGACTTACTGCTAATGCCACACTTTATCAGTGGTGCCTCAAACAGTCAGACTTTGTAAAATGTTGCTGGGGAAAATATCCTGTTAAAAAATCACTTCATCATCATTTTCTAGATATTATTCATTTCTTATCATTCATTATTATTGATGGACAAATAAGCATATGTACCATACCAAGCTAAAATTTTCTATCTCTGTATTAACAGCATGGGACAATCTTAAAATATAAAGCAATAAACAACTTCCTCCACAGTGTTTCTACTTTTACAGGTTGGTAGAAAATGTATAATTGTTCCTGGTCTTCCCTGTAATTCAGAAGTTTTAAAACTGGCCTAAAAAGATAAAAGAGTTTATAAGGGAGGAAAAACCAAACTTTGTTAGTAGGGACACAAATTGGTACAGGTTGAGCATCACTAATTTGAAAATCCAAAATCAGTGCAAAATCAGAAGTGCTCCCAAATCTTAAACTTTTTGAGTGCTACCATTGTGTTCAAAAAGGATATTCAACCTGTCATATTTTGGAGGAAAATTTAGAAATATCTATCAAAAATTTAAATATACATACCCATTAACTTAGCAATTCACCTGTAAGAACTTATTCTACAGATATAATCACACATATAAGTAAACATCAATGACATTAAGAGATGAGTTAAACACGTACACCTAAATTTCCATTCTATTAGGCCGAATGATAAGAAATTGCCAATATTCAACTACTTTCAATCTGCAGAATGACTATTCAACCTAATACTAATTTGACTACTACATCTATCTAAAAATTATTAATGAAGGGCCTAACTATGCAGCAAGTACTCCTGAAGTTCCTAGGGATTTGTCAGTGATCAAAACAGATGAAGAAACTTGTCTTTGTGGAGCTTATCTCCCAAATGACTGGTGACTGTATGAATACATAAAAGAAGTCAACTGGAAAGATCTGTATTTCGTTTCCAACACTGACACTGAGTTTGAGGAAGCAATACTTCATTTCATGATGACTTAAGTTTCTAATTACTTACCTTATGTGTTATCGGAACATATGAAATGCTTACAGAAGGATTTTTCGGGTCACAGAAAAGAAATGCTGCATGTTCATTTTAGGTTCTAACCTTACACAGAAGATTTTACGTTATTTACCTCTGAAGAAGTTCCATGTAGGATTTTGTCAGTATTTCATGCTCTTCAGCTACAGACTCTAACTTCCTATTATGTTGAAAGAGATGCTCAATATCACTCTGGGCTCTTTCTGATTCCACTTGCTGTGCCTTCAGCAACACACTAAGCTCTTCATTTTTTCTCTCAACTTCTCTCAACATACCAGCAAGTGTCCGTGCCTTAAACAAACAAACAACAACAACAAAAAGAACATAGACTTTTCTACTATCATCTATACAACATGCTCAACAAATTCCCACAATTTAAAAGGTTTACTAAGTATCTAATAAGCTGGTATCTGTTGGGTCATGCAAAGCTGTATTAATTAGTCACATATTCTTATGAATTTACTTCTAACAAGTACAGTTTTTTATTTAATAGATTATCTGATAAAAATAATCTATTATCACATTAATGGAAATGAATACAACCGCAGCAATATGAAGACAGTGCTACATATGGTATTTAATTAAAAGGGTGTGGTCCTCAGGAGTAGTCACTAACACTAAACTGCTAAGTGTGACACCCATCAGCATTCTCATTTCTGGTGAGAATTAGGAACAAAATCTTAAATACATCACAGATGCTAAATAAAACACTTAAAATTAATCTAGCATAATCAAGGAATGTAACCTTATACCATAACCTGTATGCATGTATTATGTGACATGAAACACTAAAAAAAGCAGAAAAGTCACTAGAATAAAAAGCCAGTTTCCCCCAGCCCTTTGGACTTTATTATAAAATCCTAGACAAAACCCTAAGCCCTTCTCTGTTTTTACGACTTAACTGTGAAGAAGTTATATCCAGTTATTTAGTGCTATTTTTCTAAGAAGCTTTTCCAGTAGCAGGGATAAAATATTAAACTCTCTAATAAAATATAAGACATGTCCAATAGACAGAGAATATAAAAATGTGCTATGAGAAGAGAGGGAAAAATTATTTTAATATTACTAATGACTCTTCCTTGTAATTTGTGACAGATTCAATATACCAGTCAAATAAAACCATGTAAAAATAAGAAAAAAATAAATACAGCTATATTTCTTTATATTATTTAGAATACCTTTATTCTGAAAAGACTTAAGAGGCATCTTACTTGTCACTCACTTTGATGCCTCTTTCAAAAGCCAGGAACACTGTATTATAATTCATTCATTATAAATAATATCAAGTTGTATAATTCCATTTGTATCTGCTGGCAATTTCATGTTACTGCAGTAAGGTCACCCTCATAAGGTATACATTATATATGTACATAGTACAACGCCAAAATTTGCTGAGCACCTACAATGTGCTAAGTGCTATGCTAGGGCCTGGAGCTATAGAAGCAGTCTCTGATACCATGGGTGGGGGATAACAGCATTTCCACGTGATCTGAAAAAATATTATAGAGAGGTAAGCATAGGTTTGATACACAGAGGAAGGATTGTCAAACTTATGTATGGGAAGGAGGAGACCAGAGTAGGCTTCCGGGTAATGTGGGTATTTTAACTGAAATCTGAAGGATTGTGAGTTAGGCAGAAGAGAGGAAAAGGTGTTCCAGACATAGAAAGTCAAGTATCATGACAAAGAAACACCAGAATATGTCAAGTTCCAGAAAAAGCAAAGTAGCCTAATGTGGTTGACTGCAAAGAATGCACAGAAATGAAAGATGTGGATTGAGAACCTTGTAGTTAGAATCCTTATATGCCAAACTAAGGAATTTTAATGATATTCTTAAAGCAACAGCAGCTACTATGAAAGATACTCAGCACAAGAGGGACAGGATTATTTTACTGCCTTAGAGATCCCTGAGGGAGGGGCTAGGTGAAGGAAAGACGACTGGCTGTAGAGTAGCTGAGAAGAGAGTACTAGACTTAAGGTAGGAAGACTAATTAGAGGCTCTGCTATGATTCATACAAAAAAATGAAAAGGATCCAGCCTATAGCAAATAGTGGTAGAAACAGAAATAGGGCAGAAAAGAGTAATATTTACAAGGCAGAATCAACCGGACTTAGTAAATAACTCTAGGAGGCAAACTGTATGATTTCCAGGTTTTCTATTTGTAGAACACAAAAAACAGTAGAGGGACTGCCTAACAGTAAATTTTTAAAAAGCGAAGAGCAATTAGTCCACTATAGGTTATGCTGAGTTTGAAGTATTTCCTGTATATTTAAATGGAGCAAATAGGCACTTAGTGCTCAGGAAAATGATCTGTGCTTGACATATAAAATTGGGAACGTTAATATTTTGGTAAACATTGAAACCAAGGAACACATAACTGAAGGAAAAAGGTTTAGAACATAATCCCAAGAGTCCCCAACACTTAAAGGTACAACATAAATAATGCAGGAAAATGATATTAGGTAGAAAAAAAAAATCAGAGGATAACGATGTAACCAAAATTAAAGAGGGCAGAATTTCAGGATGAAGGAAGTAGGCATGTCGAATGTTCCAGAGAATTTACTTCAATTAAAGTAACGAATACATAACGAATATTTTGCATGTTTTACTTCATCTGTCAATCTTTCTACCAATCAGATGTGTCTTTATGTTCTACACACCTCTGTTTCCGCTTGAGTTCTTTGACAGCGATGCTGAGCAATCAGTCTATCAGCCTGTGCAAGGGCGAGAGCTTTTGTTTCCAAAAGATCTTGTAGCCTGCTTTCTTTGGACTACAAGAAAACATATCATTAATTTTCATTTTAGGAATACATCTATGAAAGCTTATCACACATCGTTAAAATAAGCTTATACTCACAGCTAATGTGGATAGTTTCATCTCATATATATCCATTATGTCAGATATTCTCATATTACAAATCTGATCCTTTACCTACATTTTAAGAGTAAAAAAAAAAAATCAGAAAATTTTATTAAAATATTTTGACACAGTGACGAAATAAATTCCTACTTCAAAACTAAATCATTAAAATTTAATGATAAGTAACAGAATAAAAACAAATGCTGCATCAGATAGGTCACAAATATTTCCTTTTTTTTTTCTTAAATTTTTTTTTGAGACAGGTCTTACTCTGTCACCCAGGTTGGAGTGCAGTGGTGTGATCTTGGCTCACTGCAACTTCTGCTTCCTGAGTTCAAGTGATTCTCCTGCCTCAACCTCCTGAGTAGCTAAGACCACAGGCGTATGCCACCACGCCCTGCTAATTTTTTGTATTTTTGGTAGAGGGGGTTTCGCCATGTTGCCCAGGCTGGTCTTGAACTCATGAGCTCAGGGGATCTGTCCGCCTCGGCCTCCTAAAATTCTGGGATTACAAGCATAAGCCACTGCACCCAGCAAAATGTTGAATAACTTATTTTTCTTCCTTTATTTCCAAATTTTCCAGAATATTGTTATTTCTCATATTAAAAAGTAAGTTTTCAATGATGAAATCTGTACCTAATGGTGTTTAGATAAACGTTATAATCAGGGCTGACATATAGCTGGTATGTACCAGGTTATAATAGCTATTTGTCACTCACCACCATTCCAGACTGAAGTTTCTCTATTAATTCTTCAATATTCAATCCAGGAATGCCATCTTTCAAACGAGGAGGAGTGAAACACTTTACTGATGCTGGAAAACTGTGATTTAATAATTGCCAAGGCATTTTTCTGGGTATATGTTCTGTTTCCTGTTGTCTATAGGCATTATTTGCCGCTATACTTTCTCCAAGTCTGAAGGGAGTTAAAAAAAGGAAAATAAAAACTATATGAAAATAGAAAAAAAGGCAGACTTAGTGCAGAATTAGGGAATCTTTAAGAATGGGTCCTTTTTTGGAATAGAAGTCTTCAAATAATCTTGAGACCATGATGATATGAAGTCTTGGGAATATTCCAAATTTTGCAGAGCACCTACTTTTCTGTTTCTAACCCTTTATAATGAGAGCGTCACTTCTGGTTTTGGAGGCATTCTAACACTAGTTTATGAGTGTGGATTATCTGGTATAAGTACAAAGTTATTGGTACTGGTCAGAATAATATTCTTATCATGGGTGATACCATGTGGCCTTTATGTCCTTATTCCTTTTCCTTTCTTACTCAGTATATACTTTTCACCAACCTGACTTTCATTTTATCCCTTTAAAATTCTTTCTTCCACCCCAGGCTTTCATATGAGCTATTCCTTTACCTGGAACACGCTTCCTACCAGATCTGTATAGGGCTGGCTCCTTCTTATCATTAGGTCTCAGTTCAAATTCACCTTTTCAGAGAGGCCTTCACTAATGCCGTATATAATACTATTATTAACCACTCATGCTCTCCATAGTGATGTGCACAATACGAAAATTATTCTTTTTCACTCATCTTCTAACTAAAGTGCAAACTGTATGATGGCAGACACTCAGTCTAATTTGCTAAAGGCTGGGCACAGTGGCTCACAGCTGTAATGCCAGCACTTTGGGAGGATCACTTGAGTCCAGGAAGTTTGAGACCAGCCTGGGCAACATGGTGAGATCCTACCTCTACAAAAAATAAATAAATTAGGCAGGTATGGTGGCACACGCCTGTAGTCCCAGCTCTTCAGGAGGTTGAGTAGGGAGTATCACTTGAGCCCGGAGGTCGAAGCTGCAGTGAGTCCTGATCACACCACTGCATCCCCACCTGAGTGATAGACTGAGACCCTGTCTTGAAAACAAACAAATGAATACACACTTAAAAAATGCTACCTACCAATGCACCCATAATATACATTCAGCTTATTAAATTGCTCAAGATAATGTCAAATAAGGGCATTAAATAGTGAACATAAAATGGACACCTGAGAAAATGCTCAAAAAGAAAATTATCTGCAACACAAATAAGACAGGGAATGCCAAGACAAAGTGAAAATGGTGGGAAGGCCTCACATACAGAGGCAGAGGATAAGACTCCCATGTCCAGTGAGACTGCAGATTTCCCCTCTGAAGCTTTGAGGTTTTGTTTCATTTCAAACAAAATCTGACATTTTGTTTCATGTCAGATTACCAGTTTAGGCAAGCAGGCCACCACAAAATAAAAAGCAACTTTACAGACCACTTTTAACTTGTTACTTGAAAATCATCCCATATATTTTTGTTGTTGCTGTTAAAAAATATGTATTATAAAATTAAGGGAATTTTGGTTATATGGTCTCTAGGTCTTGCATCCCATTCTTGAACTCTTAAGGTACAAAGACCTAAACTGCTAATTCTGAAAAGTGGGAATTGCTAAATCAGTGAATAGCAGATAGTATGGACCAGCGCACTTTTTCTTATAGGTCAAAATAGTAAGTATCTTAGACTCAAGGGCCTATCTGGTCTCTGTCACAATTACCCAAATCTGTTTTTATAGAGTGAAAGCAACAAAGACAGGGTATAAAAATGAGTGGGTGTGGCCCTATTTCAATAAAACTATTTACAAAAACAGGTGCCTGTCCACTGGCCAGTTCGCTGACCCCTGGTATAAAGGGAATATCTTTCCTATTTATCAACTGCTTCAAATTATTCAAACCATTTTTACAAATTCATACATATAAACGACTTAAATGAAAAAAAATTTTTAACCAGATTCCTAATAGCCATTAAGTTCAGAAAGCCCTGTCACCTGAATTTTTTTCAAACATAATTGTAAATATTCTTATTGCTTGAAATTAACAAGTATAGTAGAAAACTTTGCCTGGTCATCATTTTTCCACTTTCTGATAAAATCACCAATTTTTTTTTTTTTCTTTAGGAATGCTTCCATTCTATTCCAACTAATTTTTAGTCTACATTGTTCTCATGGCTGACCCAGATCTGGTCAACGACTGATGCTTAGACCTTTTCCTCAAACAGTCGGGAAGGAAACTAAACTTTCTATGGAGAAACTAAACTGGGGAGATATAAGTTTAGAGAGTCCAGAAGTTATCATTAAAAAGAAGTGGCTAGAGATATACAGGGATAGTAAATGAAGAACATTTAACCACCAGGATCTAGCTTTTCCCTGAGTGAGGAAAAAGTGGGACTTTTCATTTAAAAGAATCAGACATTTTTAGAAATCACTTGAAAAATTACTATTACAATGAAGTCTTCAATTCACTAACACGCTTGTCTATTTATATTGAGGACTAGAGAAACATAGTGGGATAGTCCAACAGCATGAGACATAGACTGCTAATGATCACAACTCACGCTAAAGCAGGGAAATCTGGCAGCGGAGCAGCTTCCAATAATATTCTCAGTCCAGACTGTACTTGTTCTCTGTTATCTGATGTTAAAGCAAAAGCCAAAGGAGTAATCAAACGTGGGTCCTAAGAAATCAGAAACCAAAAGGGAAGAAGCAGAAAGAATAAACAATGTCAGCACTTTTAGAGCTGAGGTGAGTAAATATATCTAAATCTTAATTCTAGGCAAATTATAAAATGTTTCTAATGTCTGAACATATTTTAGTCTCTATTATAATATAGCTTCAATATATTATACCTGGTTATGACTGTTTACATTGCCATGCAATCAATATGAACACTAGTTTAAAAAAATCTGGCAAAGGTTTTGAATGCTTTCAAATATGCCTATAAAAATTATGCCTTATATATTTTCATGGCTTAAAAATCCACAACTTAATGTTTTTTTCCAAGCTATCATTTAAAAGAAAAACTTAAAAACAGCCTATCACTTCCAAATTAAGGGTATAAAATGAAAAGTAAAATTCAAATTAAATTAGAACATTTTATACTTACTTCAATCATTCATGTCAGTAAATATTTTACATTAGTACTGTAAGCCCCAAATCATCAATAGGTTGAGTATTCCTTATCTAAAATGTCTGGGACTGGAAGTGTTATACATTTCTGATGTTTGCAGATTTTAGGATATTTACATATACTTACTAGTTGGGCAACCCTAATCCAAAAACCCAAAATGCTTCAGTGAGCACTTCCTTTGAGCCTCATGTTGGTACTTAAAACATTTTGGTTTTTGGAGCATTTCAGATTTCAGATTTTCAAATTAGGGATGCTCAACCTGTGTTATAAAAAACATATCTTAAATAATTGATATAACATCAGTTTGACTCCTTTAAAAAATACACTAAGTTACTAGTGAAGACAATATTAAAATATAAATCCCTTATAATTAAAATGTTGAGTATCTTGTAGGTATTCGAGCATAATCCAATGTCACAGAACTGTGAAAGAGCAGGGCTTTATCTCCAAAACCCACAATGGTAAGCCTTGCTATTTTCAGTTTGTAGTCAAGGACATTAAAGTTGACAGAGGTGAAATAACTTACTCAAAACTGTACTAAGAACTAGTAGAGTCAACATTTGAACTCAGTCCCTTAAGCATGCTCTCAAAACATACCAGTGGTCCCTGCCTAAGGTTTCAGTTTTGGCTTCTATACTGTCTGTATTGTCACTAGAGCTACTGTAGTAACCTAATCCACATATTCCTGTTAAACATCTATTGTAACGCTAAGTGTTGTAGATACCAAGGTAAATATTATTACACAAAGTTTTAAGAGGCCACTGTTTTGGACTAGACTCCTACCCTAGCCTTTAGCAGACCAAATCAAAGCAGAAAGGAGTCACCCGGATGAGTGCCATGTAATCAAACTGCACTTTGAAATGGGCTAGTTTTCCAAGAAACCAGGAGATTTCAGTCAACCCCAGTGAGTATTATAAGGAAGTCCCCTTTATTACAACCCTATGAGCAAAGTAACTTTGAAAGGACCAATCTGCTTTTAGTTCCCTATTTGTGCTTTCTTCAGCCCTTTCCTGTCTATCAAGTTACCTCCTCTGCTTAGCCCAGGGGAATGATTCATTCTGTTTTATAGAATGAGACTGTCAAACTTTAGAATCACAAATGAAAGCCAATTAGAACTCTGAACTAAATTTGTTGTACTTTATCTTTTGATCACATCTAGAGACCTTATTCAGCTACTGATTGTCATTGAACTTTGTGAGTTATTATTTTCTGCACAGCCTTCTAATGATCACAATCAAGTCCTTTACTTCCAGCTGTCTCCCTATCCCCTTAATACCCTACATCAACCCTAACCAAAAACAAAAACCCTAAAACAAATACCACTCTTCCTCCAATGCCAACAGAAACAAATGAAGAGATTTACGAGTACAACACAAGAAAGCAAAGGGCTAAGGAAGCAGCACTATTGTGAACATTCTCTACATAAGGGTCATGAGCTCTTATGTTCACTTCCTATAAAAGTATATAAAATAACTGTGCAGCGAGACTATTATAACCGCTTACGACAACAACTTTTAATTTTATTAAATAGTAAAACAGAAACTTACATTAGGACCATTTACATATGAATAAACTTCAATGTTTCAAGAGTTTAAACTCACCTGAAGGATTTTGTAGAAGCTTACTTCCATACCAGGGACCAGTGGTTTAAGTTTGTTAATCAAATCAAGAGTTTTCAAAATTACATCAGCAGCAAGTTTGCTTTAAAGATAAATCACATTTAAATTAGAAAACTGAAAAATTTCTTAGAGCTTGTTTCTGTCCAAAATTCTAAAGAAACTGAAAAGAAAAAAAAAAAAAAACTTGTGTTTTTAAGATTCAAGATGATAAAGTACTGTTTCTACTGAGAAGTAAAAATACAAAGCAATCAACATTATCATAACTCGAGACCCAAAGAGAACAAAACAAACCGGCATTAACAGCCTTAGACAGCATTTCTTTCTTTCTTTTTTTGAGACAGAGTTTCACTCTTGTTACCCAGGCTGGAGTGTAATGGTGCAATCTCGGCTCACCGTAACCTCCACCTCCTGGGTTCAAGCAATTCTCCTGCCTCAGCCTCCTGAGTAGGTGGGATTACAGGCACGCGCCACCATGCTCAGCTAATTTTTGTATTTTTACTAGAGACGGGGTTTCACCTTGTTGACCAGGATGGTCTCAATCTCTTGACCTCGTGATCCACCCGCCTTGGCCTCCCAAAGTGCTGAAATTATAGGCGTGAGCCACTGCGCCCGGCCAGACAGCATTTCTTTTACTACCAACATGCTTCAACTTTCTGTTTCAAGTTAAGTAGTAGTTTTGAAACATGGTCCATTTAATTCTTAGCTTTGTCACTAGAATATCAGCAGAGGGTAACCTTAGGCAATACAGAATATCTAATGTATAATAAATGAATTATATTAGGTCATGTTCTGAATTTTGTACCTGAAAGGAGTATAAAAATAAAAAAATAGATAATTCTTATTCTAAAAGTACACAATTACTGACAACTGTGACATTTATGGAAATAGAAACAAATAATAGTGTTTAGCACTTAGCAGGTTTTCAATGAAGATTTATTAGATGGACTTAATTCATGAGGAAGGGTAGGGTATAAAAGAATATCTTACTACCATCCAGTGAAAATCCATCTTTAACCATAATTCCTGACATTCTAAGGAAGGAGAGCTATTATTAAAAAACCTTCAGCAGTGACCGATTTCCTTGTAATAAAACTACCCTTCTGTTTTTTCATGCTTTTCATTTAAGAAAGTAAAATTAAGGCCAGGTACGGTGGCTTATGCCTGTAATCCCAGCACTTGGGAGGCTGAGGCGGGCAGATCATGAGGTCAGGAGATCGAGACCAGCCTGGCCATGGTGAAACCCCATCTACTAAAATACAAAAAATTTACCAGGCATGGTAACATTTGCCTGTAGTCCCGCCTATTCAGGAGGCTGAGGCAGGGGAATCACTTGACTCTGGGAGATGGAGGTGCAGCGAGCCAAGATCGTGCCACTGCAATCCAGCCTGGCAAAAAGAGCAAGTCTCCATCTCAAAAAAAAAAAAAAGTAAAATTAAATGAATAAATTACTGACGCAATGTCAAAAAGGAGCTCCAGAAATGTTCAGAACCCTTAGATAATTACAGTAAAACAAGAAAAAAGAAACCTAGACAATAAAAAAATGTTAATATCTTTCTTCAAAAGCACAAAATCTACAAATTGAATGAATTTACAAAAAAGTCATTATGAAGATATGTTTGTTAATCTGTTATACCTTAAGTTATAACCAAAGGATGGTCCTCTAAAAGCATGAGAATCACCGTATCTTTTGATATTTTACTACCTTGCCATTTTGTCATTAGATTTCATATACTCACAATAATTCAGAATCCGCAATCTTTGTTCCAAATCCCAGGTCGGTCTTGCCATATGTAAACTGTTGTTCTATCAGACTGGCACACTTGACAGTTGTCAGGATTTTTGCAATATGCATTTTCATTGTATCATCTCCACAGAGAGGTAAGTTTTGTTAAGATACACAATAAAAAATTCTCAAATTACTTTATGCATAAAACATAATACTCAGGATGATTTCATACCAATTATATCATTACTGTTGTCCATTATAATTATTGTTAAATTAGCTCAAGGACAGACAAGGAAACTGCAACTCAAATAATTTAAATGGCTAATAAGTGGTAAGAGATGAACTGGCACCAAAAGTTTCTGACTCAAAGGTTGAAAAACCAAGGATATTTCTACATTAGATAGCTGGTTTTTGTTAGCAAGAATCTCAATGGTTCAATAAATATTTATTGAATAAAGAGAAGTTGTTTTGTCATATTTGTATATTATAAATTAATGTAAATAGCTATTATTTTTAAAAGGGCCAAGTTGTGGTCCAATTCAATGAGAAGGAGCCACTTTATTAATTATAGATATCTCTTAGGTCAAGCAATTATGTTTCCCTACTGCAGTGGTTCTCTAGCACTGCATGTTAGAATCACCTGCATAGTTTAAACAATCACAGCAAAAACAACATGCAAACACACACTACCCAGTTATTTCAGGGTTTCACATTACTCCAATTAAATTAGAATCTCTGGAAGTAAGGTTCTAGCATCAATTTTTTTTTACATGTTCTCCAGGTGATTCTAGGTAGGAAATCAGCGTTGAGAGTCACTACTTTAAAGGAAGAAGAAAATTAAGGAGCAATACCTTAGAAGAGGATATTAAACAGAGAAATTTTCTCTAGGACAGAGTAGAACATCTTCTTGTTGCTCTGAGATACAAGGACACCTGACTAGATACATTTAAGAGATCAGGTTGAGATACAGTGGCTTTTTGCTCATGGTAAAAAAGTATTAATGGAATGTTTTAAAATTGGGACTTGGACTTCTTTGCAACTCAGAATTATTTGATCTAGGAAAAAGTGAACATAAGGAAGACCTAGAAAATCAGTATACAGAAGTTAAGCAGTGAAACTGATTATTCAAGGTTTCTTTTTAAATGAATTAATTTGTGTTGATATACTTGCCTTTTCTTATAACCATTATTAAAGCAATTATGAAGGCTTTTATTTTTAAAACATAAGCTAAAACAACTGGGCTAAAATCGTGACAACTCCATCAGTACTTCTTTACCCATGAATATACACCACCAAAAAATGGCACTACTAATCATCCAGGTGCAATAATTAGCATCAAGCAGAAAAGAGTAACATGGAATAACAGAACAGTCATTTTAGAATATACTACCAAATTGTGATACAAATGTAAAAATCAAGCTTAAACAGCATTTTAAAAAACGTATCTTAGCTTAAAAGTTTCAAACAGAAAAACAAGGGAAAAAAAACCTTGGATCTTTTTCAGACTCATTGAGAATTTTTTCTATAGTTTAAATTTTAGTTCGATAATTCTAGATAAATATGAGCAAAAAGTGAAAAATTACAAAGACAAAATGCAGTGAATGCAATACTAGAAAAAAATGGTTATTTATATAGTTTTCACATTGATTACAGTAAAGGATATTTAACAAAACTTCAATGGCCTTGGCCATCCTTTCACATTTTTTTCTTATTAAAGCCTCATCTAGATTTTGGTCTGGGAGCTGAAGTTGATCGAGGATTGTAGGTAGCAGAAGGGTCACAAAACGATCAGCTGAAGAACAGTTAGCAGCATCTATGACATCCTGGAGAATTACCCATCACAAATGATTAAAAACAAAGATGGAATATACGATATGGAAATAGTCATCACTGAGCTGTAACACTCTCTTTAAATTTTTTGTATTTCCTTCAGTATGCCATTGACCTAAGTCTCCTATTATTTGTTTTTATTTATAATTTACACTTTAATCCAGTTCTGAGAGCTTTTACTTTTTTCTCAAATTAGACAGTAAGGGTTTACAAATAAGACTTTTTAAAACAGACTTTGTGATTTAAAAATTATTCTAAACTAAAAGTACTTACTGAAAACAAATATCCTAAATCTGCTAAAAGTAATTATAATAATAGAGATTGGTCTTAATAGTTTAAAACCACAAATAATTTTCATCAAGACCCTCAAAGGGCTTTTTAAACATTAAAACTGATTATTAAACAATCATAAACAAGATAAAATAGAAAATTTTGTGCATAATTAATGAACATACTTAATCACTTCATACACATATTTGTGTATAAGATCGAGTTATGAGACAAGAAATGCTTTCAGAAGATACTGGGTTAGGCAGAATGAATTTAAAAACAGGGAGAATAATTTTTAAATCCAAGATGGCTGATCGCTAACAGCCTGGGATTGTAGCTCCCAGTGAAAGCGCAGAGAACGAGAGGACGCCACACTTTCAGACGAATTTTCGTCGCTCACGAACCAGAAGATTCGCAGTGGAGGAGCCCCACGGGTCGCCAGCGCGACTCTTGTGGCTGGTGCAGCGGTTTTGCTGGCACCGCGGCACGGCAGCTCTTCATGCAGAGTAAACAGGACTGGTTCCCCTACTGATTGATGCTTGGAGCTCCGGGATGCAGAGCCGCTTGTAATGGACTCAAGAAGGAAGCCAGACTGGAGATTCCCAGGCAGAAGAGCACCATCAGTCTTATCACTGCTATTGTGGCCGGCGCAGTGGATTGCTCGGATTCCAGCACTGGGAATCAATAAATTGGATGTCCACTCAGAAACCTAATTAGAAAGGCAGTAATTGTAAAGACGACAGATGGATAAATTTATAATAAAGGGAAGAAACCAGCCTAAAAAGGCCTAGAATACCCAAAATCAGAACCCCTCTCCCTCTACAGGGAATTGCAGTTCCTCATCAGCAATGGAACAAGCCCTGATGGAAAAGGACTGTGTTCCATTATCTGAAGTAGGCTTCAGAAGGTGGATGATAAGAAACTTCTGTGAGTTAAAATAACCCAATGTAAAGAAACTAAAAACTTTGAAAAAAGGTTTGACGAAATGCTAAAAAGAATAGGCAATATAGAGAGGAATATAAATGAACTAACGGAGTTGAAAAATACAACACGAGAACTTAGTGAAATATGCACAAGTTTGAATAGCCAAATTGATCAAGCAGAAGAAAGGATATCAGAGGTCAAAGACCTACTTAATGAAATAAAATGAGAAGACAAGAATAGAGAAAAAAGGATAAAAAGGAATGAGCAAAGTCTCCAAGAAATATGGGACTATGTAAAAAGACCTAATCTACGTTTGATAGGTGTACCTGAATGTGATGGAGAGAATGAATCCAAGCTGGAAAACACTCTTCAGGATATTATCCAGGAAAATTTTCCCAATCTAGCAAAGCAGGACACTATTCAACCCCAGGTAATACAAAGACCACCACAAAGATATTCCTCAAGGAGAGCAACCCCAAGGCACATAATCATTAGATTCACCAGGGTTGAAATGAAAGAGAAAATACTAAGGGCAGCCAGAGAGAAAGGTCAGGTTACCCACAAAGGGAAGCCTATTAGACTTACAGTAGATCTCTCAGCAGAAACCCTACAAGCCAGAAGAGAGTGGGGGCCAATATTCAACATCCTTAAAGAACAGAACTTACAGCCCAGAATTTCATATCCTGCCAAACTAAGCTTCACAATTGAAGAAAAAATAAAATCTTTTATGAACAAGCAAGTACTCAGAGATTTTATTACCACCAGGCCTGCTTTACAAGAACTTCTGAAAGAAGCATTACACACAGAAAGGAACAACCACTATTAGCCTTTCTAAAAATATACCAAAAAGTAAAGAACATCAACATAAAGAAGAATTTACATTAATGAAGATACAGCCAAAACCTAATGGTATACTACATCCAGACCCATTTTATATCCAGATACAGAAAGACTCAAAACAAAGGGTTGGAGAAAGATTTACCAACCAAATGGAGAGCAAAAATAAATAAATAAACAAAAAGCAGGAGTTGCCATTCTCGCATTTGATAAAATAGATTTCAAAGCAACAAAGATACAGTGGTAAAAGGATCAATGCAACAATAAGAGCTAACGATCCTAACACCCAGATACATAAGACCCATAAAGAGATTTAGACTCAATGAGACAGAAAATTAATAAGGATATCCAGGACTTGAACTCAGATCCGGAACAAGTAAACTTAATAAATATTTATAGAGCTCTCCACTTCAAATACACAAAATATTGATCGGCCATTATTAATACCCATTTTTAGAATAAAGCAATATATTCCTGTTCTCTCTCCCTCTTTTTCTTCCTCTCCTCCTTTCCTTTTTTTTTCTTTCAAATAAAAAAAAAGAAGAAGAAGAAAAGACACATCATCATCACCCTGACTCCATAGCCAGTGTGAGGCTCACTCTCGGTGTTGCACATTCTATAGGTTTAAACAAATATATCATGACATGTATCTGCCATTCTAGATTATACAAGGTAGTTTCACTACCCTAAAATTCCTCTGTGATTCACCTATTCTCTTTTTTCACTTTATTTGTCCGTTTTCAGAATGAAAACACACACACACACACGGAGAATAGTAGAGAATACTAAGTTGCCCAGATAGTAATATCTACCAGAATGCAGAGTTTTGTCTGTATCTTAAGTGCCTAGCACATTGTGTGGCATGCTCAACTCCATTTCACTGACTGAATCCAATATTCCTATATCATCCACTCAACGGTCTAATAAACTTGGAATGGAGAGACAATGTGACTATTCCAGTCATGCAACAAATCATATAAATCTTATACCTTTACTTATTACACTGAAATGAGCACTACATATATATGCTATTCAGGGGAAAAAAAGGAAAATACTAATATATATGAGGGGCAGGAAAAAACTTAGGGAGTCTAGTGGGTGACTGTTAATAATTGACAAGTTTTCCTCAAGTGTATGAACTGGAAGTTTACTAAGAATGTTTTTGAAGACAAATTGTTGAGAGTCACAAAAGTGGAGAAGTCAATCTGTCATTCATCCTATTACCTCAAATATTTCCTTGAACAACTCCAATGCTAAAACAGAACAGTTTTCTGATCCGTCCAAAGGTTGGTTTAACCAGCGCAGTAGAGCCACAGTAGGTTCTAAACATTTAGGACGGCTTCCTAGAGTGGTGTTGCCAGATGGAGACTGTTCAAATATCATCTGAGTCAGGATATGGCGCAGCTGAGTCACTGAACAGAAGGCAAGAAGTAATTCTAAAACCTGTGCAATAGAAAGTCTTCATTAAACGTCAGTTTCATTAGATTTTAATATACAAAGCAAGTGTATGATGAAGCTGAAAATGCCATATATTTTTAAAGAAAACATTCTAAAACAAAACTTAAAACTAGCTTCTAATTTTTCTTTCAATACTATTTTTCAAATGTGTGAATAGGTTCCAGAAGGTTACAAATAAATTTATTAATGGTGCTTATGGGCCGGCCCGGTGGCTCATGCCTACAATCCCAGCACTTTGGGAGGCCGAGGCAGGTGGATCACGAGGTCAAGAGATCGAGACCATCCTGGTCAACAAGGTGAAACCCCCTCTCTTCTAAAAATACAAAAAAGTAGCTGGGCATGGTGGTGCACGCCTGTAATCCCAGCTACTCAGGAGGCTGAGGCAGGAAAATTGCCTGAACCCAGGAGGCGGAGGTTGTGGTGAGCCGAGATCGCGCCATTGCACTCCAGCCTGGGTAAAAAGAGTGAAACTCCGTCTTAAAAAAAAAAAAAAAAAAAAATGGTGCTTACTCCTGATAAGCAGGACTGTGAGAACCTCAGAGGCAAGGTCAACTTCAACTAATGTTACACTCCTCCCACGCCTTCCACAGTACTTAAATTATTTTTAAACATAAACATGTTTTATTTATAAATGACCAAAAAAACCGTAAAAAATAAAATTAGAATGAACAATACTTGTTCTAATCCCAAGGTTCAATAACTGCTATAAAGGATACTGTAGCATAGAATATTAAACCTTCTGGATGGTTATTTCCACATCGTTTGCACTGTTGGCATTATGACCCTTAGCTCTCCTACCTACCCCATTTCCCCTCTACCTTATAAATGAGCCTTATACCATTACATAACACCCCCATCAACCTGTTTATCAGATGTTAAGCTAAATTCTACCTCATTTCATACACTACCAATCACTAAAAAAAAAAATTTTTTTCGTAAGATCTTGCCTCTCTTATTTCCAACTTTTTAAGACTGATTCTTACAAATGATACATAATTGAGATTAGTTTTAATCAACTTGATAGCATCTGTATTTAAGAGAATCCAGTCCATTAGCATTTACTGTAACAAAGAATCTTTAATAAATATTACCTGTAGCAGTCATGTGGCACTTAGTGATGATATGCCACTTAATGCATCATTAAGTAATTTTGCTGTGTGATCATAAGAGTGTACTTACGCAAACCTAGATGGTAGAGCCTATTGTACACCTTTATTGCCTGTGGGCTACAAGCCCGTACAGAATACTACTGTACTAAATACTACAGGCAACTATAACACAATTGTAAGTACTTGTGTATTTAGACATAGAATACAGTATAAGATTAAAAATGGTTTACCCGTCCACATAGAACAATTACCATAAATGAAACTTGCAGGACTGGAAGTTGCTCTGAGTGACTTGTGAGTGAATGTAAAGGCCTAGGACATTACTGTATATTGCTCTAGACTTCATAAAGACCGTATGTTTAAGCAATATTATATTTTAAATTTCTTTAATAAATTAACCTTAGCTTAACATAACTTTTTAACTTTATAAGGGTGTCAATTTTTAAAGTTTTTGACTCTTTTGTAGTAAGAGAAACACACTATATAGCTACTATACAAAAATACTTTATTTATATCCATATTCCATCAATTTTTTTTTCTATTTTTAAAATGTTGGGTTTTTCTTTTTAAATTTTTTTTTGTGAAAAACAAAGACACATATACATTAGCCCAGGTCTACACTGGGCCAGGGTAATCAATATCACTTCCACCTCAATATCTTGTCCCACTGGAAGGTCTTCAGGGGCAATAATACACAGAGAACTGTCATCTCTAATAACAATACCTTCTTCTGGAATACCTCCTGAAGGACCTGCCTGGCTGTTTTACAGCTAACTTTTTATAAGCAGAAGTACACTCTAAAATAACAAAGAATAAGCGGTAACACATTGATCAAAATATTACATACTGTACATAATCTTATTAATATGTGCTATACTTTTATACAACGGGCAGCTCAGGTTTGTTTACATCAGCATCACCACAAACACATGTAATACGTTGCCCTATCATGTCAGAATGTCCATGATGTCATAGGCAATGAGAAGTTTGTCTGTCATTGACTAAAATGTCATTATGTAATGTATGACTATATTTATTTTTGAATAGGTAATACATTTACAAGGTTCAAAAGACAAACCCTGGAGGCAAACAATGTTAGCAGTTGCTTGTGTATCTTATAAGATGTCCATCATGAACACACAAGAAGCAGCTTTCCATGTACATTAGTTTTCTTTTAATGTACATATATACAAGTAAAAAAATTAATCACTAGTGCAGAGCTGGATGACTTTCCCAAAATGAACACATCCCACTGTTGATGGCATTTGGGTTATCATTGTTAGTCATTAGGAACAGTACTGCTACATTCTGTACACATGTATACAATTCTTTGTGAAAAATACCTACAAGTGAGATTTCTAGGTCAGAGTTCATACATACGCCCAGTATTAACAGATACCAGTTTTCATAATTGGTTGTACTGGGAGTACTAAATGAGAGTTAAGGTATGTTTGCTATTTTCCATTTTAATCAACTGATGGGTGACAGATGGTATCATACTACCATTTAAATTTGCATTTCCCTGAAGATTGATAAAGTGTTACCATCACTTCATGTTTATTGACCAATTCAACTTTCTTGCTCAGGTTATCTTTTGGGCTCTGCGTTTTTTTCTGATACACATGTACAACATGGAAAAACAGTATATTTTGGATAAGAGTTCTTTGTTAGATACATACATTGTAGATATCTATTCCCATTCTTTGACTTTTCTTTATTAGTGGTCTTATCATGAATAGAAACTTAATTTTAATGTAGCCCAACTTACCAACTTTTTCCTTGTAGAGTCAGTGCTTTTGGTTCCTGTTTAAGAAAATAATTGTCTACCCCAAGGCCATAAAGATACTCTGTTAAACCTTTCTTCCAAAACCTTATTTTTACTTTTCCCATTTAAATCTACAACCTGTCTTATACTGAGTTTTGCATTTGGTATGAGGTGGGGGTGGGGGTGGGGTCAAGATTCAGTTTTTTCCATATGCATATTCAATTGACCCAGTGTCATTTACTGAAATGACCATACCTTTAAGACTCTACTGTTGTCAATCAGTATGCTGTGGGTTTGGTTCTGCTCCATTGGGCTATCTATCATTTTGACAAAATACTGCACTGTCTTTAGACTAATCCCCTAAGCACCTGACATTTTAAAAAATCAGTAAATAGCATAATTTAAAAGTTCTATGTATCAAGAGAATATAAGAAAAATATGTATTTACTGATCTTGTGTCCAGCCAACTTGTTAAATAGATTTGCTTTATTTTAATAACAATTTCCATAGATTTTAGATTTTCTATATTCTCAGGTCATCTGAATAGTGAGTTTTATTTCTTCCTTTCTAATCTCTGTACCTTTTTAATTTCTCTTGCCTTATTGGGCTGGTTGGGACCACGAATACTATGCTGAACATTACTGGTGATAATGAGCATTGTTTTTTTATTCCCAATCTTGAGGAAAGCTTTCAATAATTTGCATTAAAAAAGATGATGCCGGAGATTTTTGGTAATTACTCGATCAGGGAAAGGAAGTTTCTCTTTATTCCCAATGTACTAATCTTTATCATGAATAGGTATTAAATTTTATCAAATGCTATTCTCCCTTTAAGGAGATAATATAAATTTTCTGCTTTTTTGGTTATGTGGGAAATTATATTAATTTCCAAATGTTAAACCATCTTTGCATTCCTGCAATAAACCTCATTTGGTGATAATGTGTCACTGACTTTGATTTGCTAATATTTTGTTTAGGATTTTTGCGATATGTTCATGAAAGATATAATTTTCATTTGTTGTAGTATCCTTGTCAGGTTTTGCTATTAAGGTTATACTGGCCTTATAATAAAACACACTGTACTCTATTATCTATTAAAACAGACACTCGCCAGGTGCGGTGGCTCAAGCCTGTAATCCCAGCACTTTGGGAGGCCGAGGGGGGTGGATCACGAGGTCAAGAGATCGAGGCCATCCTGGTCAACATGGTGAAACCCAGTCTCTACTAAAAATACAAAAAATTAGCTGGGCATGGTGGCGCGTGCCTATAATCCCAGCTACTCAGGAGGCTGAGGCAGGAGAATTGCCTGAACCCAGGAGGCAGAGGTTGCGGTGAGCCGAGATCGCATCATTGCACTCCAGCCTGGGTAACAAGAGCGAAACTCCATCTCAAAAAAAAAAAAAAAAAGACACTCAACTATTTCTTCCCCACCAAGATGTATTTTGCTTTCACTGCTCCCCACTTCTATCATAACAAAAATTATTTTTTACTTTAAAATAAAAACTAAGTTTTAAATTTTTATTTTTTATTCTTACTTTTTCATTCTCTTCCAGGTTTTCTGATACCCATAGAATGCTTCTACTCCCCTGAGCTACCTGACCTCCTAAATTCCCCGAGATGGTTTAATACCTTTAGATTCAATGATTAGATTTTTCCCTTGCTGTGTGTCTCTTCTATTCCAAGAATCCTTATTTAGTACCTATATTAGAGATTCCTAGTCACTTTATTAAGATCCATTTAGATACTAATTAGGAATAGTTCTCATATTGCATATGAGAAAGGAATGTAGAAATTCTAGTGTTCAAAATAAAAAGAAAATATAGTTAAGTAACAAACTTTGTACTATTTCAACCTTTCTACCATCTTTTATATCACTGTTGCAAATGATTAGTTCAAAGTCATTCTAATTTTTTGTAAAAGCTGATCTGAAAATGTCCTACTTCACACCAGACACAAAAGTCAATCGTAGGAAGATTACAGATCTATTTGGGAAAGTTAAAACAACTTGAAAGCTTTTAGAGGAAAACAATGGAGTCCATCTTTGTGACTTTGGAATAGGCCAAGAGTTCCTAAATGGAACACAAAAAACACTAAATTGATCTATGTTAAAATCAAGGCACATTAGGTGAGTAAAAAGGCAACTCACAGAATGAAAGAAAATATTTGCATGTCATTTACCCATCAAAAGACTCCAAAATAAATCCTCCTACACATAAGTGAGAGAAAGACAATGCGTTAAACAAATGAGCAAGAGACATAAACAGGCACATCAAAGAATATATAAATGGCCGATGAATAAGTAAAATGATGTCGACTTTTATTAGTAAAATATTAATATAAATTATAATGCAATACTACGACTTTTATTAGTAAAATATTAATATAAATTATAATGCAATACTACTATTAGACTGGCTAAAATTAGAAAGTGAAAAATATCAAGTGCTGACAAGAATGCAGACTGACCAAATCTTCATACACTGGGCCAGCTGATATTTCTGGAAAACTGTTTCATAGTGCCTACTGAACACATGTATATCCCATGACATCGTGATTCCACTCAATGGTATAAAGCTAAGACAAGCATGTCCATAAGCTCACCAAAAGGCATGCAGAAAATCGTAAATGGAAGTTTCTTCATAACTGATATTCATAAACAAAAGAACACCAATTGTGCTCCTTTCCTCCTGGGGGACCAGTGTGCAATGGCTGCAAATAGCTGTTTCCTTGGTAACATATGCAGCCTGTTGCTTGTATGGGTTGCACTAAGAAACCTTAAAAACAGCCCTTTCCAGGCCGGGCGCGGTGGCTCAAGCCTGTAATCCCAGCACTTTGGGAGGCCTAGGCGGGTGGATCACGAGGTCAACAGATCGAGACCATCCTGGTCAACATGGTGAAAACCCGTCTCTACTAAAAATTACAAAAAATTAGCTGGGCACGGTGGCGCGTGCCTGTAGTCCCAGCTACTCGGGAGGCTGAGGCAGGAGAATTGCCTGAACCCAGGGGGCGGAGGTTGCGGTGAGCTGAGATTGCGCCATTGCACTCCAGCCTGGGTAACAAGAGCGAAACTCCGTCTCAAAAAAAAAAAAAAAAAAAAAAAAAAAAAAAAAAAAAACAGCCCTTTCCAATGTACATTCATGTCTCTGACTTCCTGTTGTACCTCATCTAGGCTTCTGGGAGGTATGCAAGGTGTGTTTGGAAAGCCCTCAGGGCATAGTGACCAGGGTTCACATTGGCCAAGTCATCATGTCTATTCACACGAATCTGAAAAATAAGGAGCATGTGACTAAGGCCCCCCATGCAGGGCCAAGTTCAAGGTCCCTAGCTGCCAGAAGATCCATCTCAAAGTGGGACTTTACCAAGTTAAATGTCAATAAATTTGAAGACACGGCAGCTGTGAAGTGGCTCATTCCAGATGGCTGTGAGGTCATATACATTCCCAAATGAGGCTCCTGGACAAGTGGTGAGCACTACATTCATGAGGGCTTTCACCGTAATGCCCCCTTACTCATGCTCATCAATAAATCATACTTCCTGTCTAAAAAAAGAACCAATCTAACAATCTACAACTATATGAAATATGAATGAATCTCATCACATTAACATTATGTTGAACCAAAAAAAGTCTAGACAGAAAACGTATTTATTATATGCTTTTATCTACATAAAGTTTCAAAATAGAAAAAAGCTCTCTATATATACGCCGTTAGAAGTCAGTATAGTGGTTACAGCACTTATCCTTGGTAAAGATAAGGAATGGGAAGGGACAGGTACCAACTACAAGGAAGCACAAGAAGGTTTCTAGAACACTGGTAACATTCTGCATTCTGATCTAGACGCTGGCTACATAATTGTATCCCTATTGTAAAAATACAGAGAGCTGTGCATTGAGATTTTTCTGCATTTTACATACCTTTGAAGAGGAGTCAGGATCCTTTCCATTAAGAAGACCTAACACTTCATTAAGACATGAAGAAAAGTGCTCATATCTAGGTTTAAAATAAAAATATACATCAAATGATAAAATTGGTATATCAAAAGGGATTTACAAGATAAATATAAAATTTATGTGTATCTTGTTTCATCTATTTATTTGGGCTTCTAATATAGAACACACTCTAGTAAAGTTTATACTTAAAACTTGTCATATGTCTTACCATTATAATATACATAAATTGGCCCTGTCATTTATTAAAACATAGTGATTCATGTGGCAATAAATAAGTCATTAAAATTTTCAGTGCCTCAATTGTTCTATTTTTTTAAGATTGTGTTCAGTTTGTAAAAATTCAAAGGATAGAGGAATATCCTAACAAATTACACAGCTGTTTATTTATTTAAGGCACTTAAAATTGCCAGGCATTAAATAAGTCTCTGCAAATAAAGAAGGGGCAGCAACCTGTGTTACACAACTCCAAGAGGTATCAGAGGTACCCCTAGCATATTCTATGTGACTATGTATCCTAGATTTGGGAGATGGTGCACTGACAGGGAGCTCACAGAAGGATAGGAAGAGATAATACAATGTAATATAAAATACAATGCTATAATGAAGGAATGTATGGGACACTATGGAACAAAGAATATTGTCTCAGCATTAAACCCAGACTTGAGTCTTAAAAAACAGAAATAGAAGTTAGATATGTAAAACATAAAATAATCTAGTCTTCTAGAGGAAATACCCAAGAGGAAATAGCACATGGATACATGAAAGGGCATTTCTAGTAAGGTGGAAGTTCTATTTATTGTCTAATATGATTAGACAAAAAACAAAATGTGTGAATAAATAAGGTTGAGAGGTTGTCAGGGACCAGATTTTGAAGGGCTATACTGAGAATGTGGATATTTACCTTGAACGCAATGGTAGGTCAAAGATTTTAAAAGGGACATGTGGTTGAAGAAAAAGTTTTGAGTATATTTATAAATTAAACAGGAAAGGTCAACTGAATGGAAGGGCCCTGAAGGAGAGGAGCAACTACTTTAGAAAAGTTGAAATGAGACAATGCATAGAGTAATAAATATACTTATGAGTGAAACAGGATGAAACTAAGAATTTGGTATAAACAGGTAAGTTTGTCCAGGGGCAAGGATTTAAGACAGCTCCATTTAAATGAGGCTCCATTTAGATTTTTTTTTTCTGTGAAACAGAGATAAGGTCATCTGCATAAAAGGAAGCAAGAGAAAAAGAATAAATTTGAAAGACCAGCCCCGCCAGAAGCTCACGCCTGTAATCCCAGCACTGTGGGAGGCCAAGGTAGGTGGATCTCCTGGGGTCAGGAGTTCAAGACCAGCCTGGCCAACATGGCAAAACTCCTTCTCTATTAAAAATACAAAAATTAGCTGGGCGTGGTGACATGTGCCTATAATCCCAGCTATTTGGGAGGAGGCTGAGGCATGAGAATCACTTGAACCCAGGAGGCAGAGGTTGCAGTAAGCCGGGATTGCAACAGGGCAAGAGCGAGGCTCTGTCTTTAAATAAATAAATTTGAAAGATCCACTGTAGGAAAGTAAGCTGACGAATAAATATAAGAGGTCCGGCCCAGAAACAGCTGTGTGATTTTCTCATGCTCTAATTAATAACCACACATTAAGTTAGACTTTGGAAGAGATTCATTCAGGATTGGGTTTTTGTTCAATGGGATACCAGATAGACAAGAGGAGTTGCCAGAGGTCATTCTGGGGTTCAGGATGGATAGAGTATAAAATAGATAATAGAACTGAGAGACTTACAGAAGAAATGATTCAGCAATCTCTCACTAATGCTAAACCAGATTATTTTTCAGTCTTCCGGGAGAGGTTTATTCAAAAGAATTTTTGTTTACAATGAAGCTGCTGAATAAACACTCTCTGGTGGCCAGAATAGATATACATGGATATTGGGAGAATATTACAACAGATGAAGAGAAGGCAGGTCATGGGAAGGTACTCTGGAAGAAAAATCTCACTTATCTGGAGATTCTTAAGAGAAGAAACAGTGAAATGCTAAAGTGAATGCTTCTTGTTTCACAAAATATCAGCTGAGCTGAATGAACAGTGGTCAAGTTTGTCCTAGTGCTTAGCTTTTATTAAAATAAAACTTTTAGATTCTGTTTCTTAAACATCCGGGACTGTGTCTTCACATCCTATTGCGGCTAAGTGCCTGACCATAGGTGGGGTTCAATAAATGTTTCTTGTATGTGAAACTCTTTAAAACAATTTCAACTATTTCCTAATTAAGATCACAAAGCAGTTTATGCCCCAGCAAAATTTACTTAGAAAGGAAAAAGGCTACAAGCTTGTTGGAAAACAATTACTACCTGATCTCAAAACATAAATGATCCCATGAAATATAGAGACAGAAAGACACATGAACATGTGTTCCCATCTCACCTATAACAAAAGAGGCACACACCAAAGGAAACATTACCAATTTTTATACAGAAAATTAAAAAAAAAGACACCAACATAATGACATCAATGTTTCAAGATGGTTTCATTTATTTATAATTTATGTATAAATATTTATTTGTATTGTGACTATAATAAAAATATTCTTTCGAATAATTGTAATGCTGCTTAAGTTTTAAAATTAGCCAAAATGTCTATATTTTAGAAAATGGCACAACCCTACTGATCTAAAGCAAAGACTGAAATACACACATACACAATGACCTTGTTATACTTGACATTTCAGTTCAGGAAAGAAAAAGGAGTGGGAGTATAGCACGTCAAAACATTTCATTTTAGTCTACTGTGAATAAGTAGAATCCAAGTTTATTATATTTTAAGAAGACAATTTCATTTATAACAAACACATCTTGGTTTGAAAAAAAGGTCTAAAATTGACTGAAGTGAGTCATACCTGGTAAGATAATCAGCAATTTTAGGACTCTTAAGGAGATCCATCAGTAGGTCAACTGAATATTTTCTAGTTAGAGTGCCATCACCGTTTATGAGAATATTAAATATTAGTTGAAAAGTCTGATGAATGTTTCGAGCATGGAACAGCTTAAGGACAAATTAGAAAAAGCATATTACACAAAAAAATTAAGTTGACACCATCCTAAACGGTAAAAATAAAAATGTCTCAACGACTTTTAAAATATCAGACTATAAACTTCAGAATAAATTTGAAAATTGTATTTACCTTTTCCCCCACCTCTTCGTTTAATGTCAAACTGTATAATATTGAAAGTGCATACACAACCACAGTTAAACTACTATGGGCCAACAAGGTAATAAGAGTCCGATAAAAAGATTTCACATTACTCTGAGGGAAAAAAAGTTAAAAGATAAATTAGAATTATGAATTTTATATTTTGGTTTAAAAAGTATATCCTGCACAGGGTGGGCCAACTTTCATTAAACATCACTGTCAACTCTATTAAACGATTGTCGCATTTAAAAGACACATGTTCTACAGAAGAAATTTAGATCAGAGATAATTTTAAATTCAAAAACTGTTATAAACAGAGTACCTAGAGAAAAAAGTAATTTGGTGAATGTGTGCAAATGAGTAGGAGATAAATTCTTGCAAAGCTCTGTCACCTTAGAATAAATAATTCAATGATGGTAAATCAGGTTGTCAACGCTAATAAAGGGACACATGCAGAGTGGAAACAAAAGAGCTACCTTAAATACCTAGGAAAAGTTGTTAGGCATTTGTGTTAACCAAAGTACTGTAATGAGGAACTCCCATAGTTGCGGCAGAAGCAAAAAAATATTCAGCAAATTAAGAATTTGTTTTCCATTACACACTGTGGAACAGCAACTCACTTTGCCATATTTGCTGATATCATTTAGATTTAAGAGATCATTGCAGGTGTGAGTGAGATGGGTACTTTCATATATTCCTGACAGTCATACAGATAGACACGGTCTTGGTGAATAGCAGTTTCTACACATGGAACTATGAGTATATGTTTACTCTTCCTTACATTTAAGCGTTTCCTAAATATGAACTTTTTTTTTTCAATTCAGAAATTGAAAAACACATACACACTACACACACACCCAAACACAACTCACAGAGTAACTCCACCTCCAAAGCAAGACCAGGTCAGAAAAATGTAGCACTTGAACAAGTGAGATACTAAACTTAAAATCAAACAGGTAATGCTGAAGAGCATAGCAGGGAAATTGTTCTCAAAGCACCTTAAATAATCAGTGACTTGCTTGATTTAATATCCTTCTAAAAGTGACTCGGTTAAATTCATTTGTGTGTCTTCACTTATCACAAGTACTGTTGGTTCATACTGAGCACTTAACTCATGAATCTTTCTGGTGGAGTTGTATTGATTTTGTAGAAACACAAGACTGAGATAAATGGGACTGCCAGTGATGTGCCTCTCTTCTAAGAGCACAAAATAATTTAGTAATTCTTGTACTACTCAATGTGATAAACGGGATGCCATGTTAAGGAAAACTTTTAGAAATAAGTATTTGCATTAACCCTTTACACACGGTCTTCAATACCACATACACGAAGGCTGAACTGCTTCAGGTTATTTATATGTCAATCTGACTCTTCATAATTTTGATGGGTCAGTTGATAAGACACAATAATCCTTATTCAACTTTGTTTTAAAGAAAAAGACAAAATTTTCTTTACAAACAGAGTTTATCATAAAATCAGAAACATTAAAAATAAATAAACTTCTTACCAATGTCTTTATGTGTGTTTGAACAGAAAGATTGTGCCGACAAAGATTTGCCAATAATCCTAGACAAGGCATTTTTAACTCATCTTCAGAAGATTGACTGTTTTTTTTCACATTGGTGTTTTGTTTAAAAGAAAAAAAGCATTAATGTCATTCTAAGTCAAAATGATATAGTTAAGTTTATACATTTCAATTGCTTTTTATATGCAAAAAAAAAAAAAAAAATCTAGTTCACATGGAAAGCCAGAGAAGCTCTGAATAGTTTTGACCATTTATCTCATGTTTTGAAACAAAATTACCCAATTCAACTCCATCATGAAAACATGAAAATAACTGCCAGCGTGGACCATGTGCTGTTTAATCAATATATTTTCCTATAAGAATAACCAAACAATTTTCAGTTTCAGTAATTTTTTTCTGGTCAAATCAATTCAGTCCATAAATTTTTGTTATGAAAATTAAAGCTGCTTTACAACTCTTTTTCCTTTTTACATTTTTTTCACCAAGGAATGAGGTTACATACTTTACAACTTTCGATTCTTAAAATCATAAGGGCAGAACAAGTAAGAACTGGAATCTTACTCAGTTTACACAGTTAGAAAATGTTATCTAAGAAAAACTGATCTACCACATGGTTGTAGTTTAAAAATAAAGAAATAGAGTATTTGGTTTTATGTTTGAATGCATACTCACATGTGATTTATCAGGATCATAATTAATTCATCTATATTGGCACCAGAATAGAAAATTTTGACATTATATGTTAACTTCTGTAGAAGTTGAATGCACTGAGAATAAGAAAATAGTTATAAATGTAAACAAATAAAAACATTGCCTGCTTAAAATAATGGACTATCAGACATATTCTGAGCACGCCCTTTTCCATTTCCTAAAACATAAAAAAAAAAAAAAAAAAATGTGTAAAGTAATACAAGAACCTTAGGGCTCTTCTCTCAATTCACATATTTCTATGCATTCTGTCTTAGAACATGATTATCAACCTTGCTCACTTAGTCATCTTTAACTTGAATGCAGGTTGAAACACACAATATAGCCCATCAACTAGAAAACACCCTTTTTCACATTTTACCATCTCTAAAACTGCATGTCAATTTAGTTTGTGATGTTTTTCTTTCTTACAGTTGATGACATTTTAGAGGCAATGAAATATGAATAAAGAGCTTTGAATCTATATTAAATAGACTATATCTACAGCTTTAATTTTTAAAGAATGTTTCCTCCACGGATTGAGACTAGATGCCAACTCACATTATAATTTTAATATAAATAGCGTATGTCTCAAAAAACACAGACATCTGTGTTTATAAGTCAAAGCAGTTACAATATAGATTTGTTTTTCTTCAATAATAGTGCTAGATACGGATGAGCTTCTCTTTTCTAGAAACATTTAAATTGTAGCATGTGTGCAACCAACTTTTAATGTGGCGAGCTGTGCCTAAACATGTAGTATTTATCATATGGCATAGACACTGTAAGTCAGCAGTTTGTGACAGATACTATCAATTTTGATCTGACAATAAGGAAAGCATACGCCGTGTGGGTGTGTATGGGTGTGTATACCTGCAGGAACACTGAATCCGCGGGGCTGCTCCGACAAAGCACTCCGGCTAGCACACTATTCAGATTGTATGTATTCTGAAGACAATCTCTGGTTTCCCTGTCTACAGCTGTAAGGTAAAATAAAATAGCACAAAATATATCATTTTCTTATAAGGTTTTCATGGATAATTTATTTCATATGAATTATCATTTAAAATGGTATAATATGGCTATTTTATTTGACAAAACACAATTCAGAAATTCTAAAGATTTCTCTATGTAAAATAAACTAGTATCAAATTAAAATCTTTTAATTTGAATATTAAAAGATTATCATTTCATGGTATATTTACGCAATGGAATACGATTTGGCCATACAAAAGAATGCTTGTCATTTGTAGCAACATGGATAGAACTGGAGGCCATTATGTTAAGTGAAATAAGCCAGAGACAGAAAGAAAAATATTGCATGTACTCATTCATGTAGAGGAGCTAAAAAAAAGGTGATCTCACAGAGGTAGAGAATGACAGTTACGAGAGGCTGGGAAGAATACGGGAGAGTGTGTGGGGGTGTAGGGTGTGAGGGGGAGCCGTTAGCAGGGAAATGAAGACAGATTGGTTAATGGATATAAACACACAATCAGATGGAATAAGTTCTAGTGTTTCATAGTAGAGTAAGGTGACCATAGTTAACAATGCATTGTACATTTCAAAATAGTTACAAGGGAGGACTTGAAATGTTCTAAATACATAGAAACGATAAATCCTCTTTTCCGATGGATATCCTAAATACCGTGAATTGATCACCACATACTCTATGCAGGTAACAAAATATCATACGTACCTCAAAGTTTGTAACAACATTATATATCTGAAATAATTAATTTAAAAAGATTACCATTTCAGTTTTTCTGTAAACCCCAAATGCTTCTAAAGTATAAATGTTCGAAGTGACTGGTATTCTCATTCAAATTGTTGGTGGATGTTAGAAACGGAAAAATCTTTTCAGAAAGCAATTTAGTAATGGCTATCAAATTTTCAAATGATCTAGAAATTCTACAGGAATTTATCTAATAGAAACACACTAATATCTGAGCAAATACACAGACTGTTCACTGCACTCTTGATTCCAATAGCAAAAACTTAACCAACGATGAGTGCCCACTCTTAGGGGAATCGTTGAATAAATTATAATACCCTGTAATTACGGCACTAGGCAGCTATTAAAGATACTGATATGGAAAGAAACATCTGGTGCTCTGCAACACCATTTATATTAAAAACAACCAACTAAAGATCCAAAATTATTGTTCTGTGACAGCAAAGAAACATATCAAACCATTAAATGAGATTGTATCCTGAAAAGTGAACAAATGAGGGCTGGTCGTAATGGGTTGACTCATCCCGTTTTACTCTATATCTAGGCTAATTTGATAGCCACTAGCCTTCATGTGGCTATTTAAAGTTAGATTAATTAAAATCAAAGATTCAGTTTCTTAGTTCATTACCCACTCTTCAAGTGCTTTATAGACCCTTGTGGCTAGGGGCTACTATATTGGGTAACACAATTCTAAAACAATTCTGTCACTGAAGAAAGTACTGCTGGACAATGCTACTCTGTGTTAATACTTCTGGATCACTAGAATTTTTTAAACTCTGCATATATTATTATAATCACACAAAGAAATATCCCTACCACCATGTCCCAAATTGGGGTAAAGTGATCAGTAAATGAACACTTAAAAACTAAAGCTATGGGGAAAAAGACAGAAAAAGCAACAATAGTACTTTTACTTTTAGTTCTAAATTCAGTGTAATTTATTACAGAAGGATGATTCTTTGATCAGTACCTAGTCTTTCTGGTGGTATACTTAATACTGACATTATGTCTGGGTTTTTGTTTCTTAATTCAAAAGTAGTCCAGCATTTCCCAAAGTGCTTTCTTTTCTGTAGAACACTGAACCTTTCACATACTTCTGATTCCTCGGTCCAATAATTTTAAGAAATGCTGCATAAAATATTTTCCTCTTTCAAAAGATTCACAATGCACATCAGATTCAGGAATCTTTGAAGGTGAATCATTCTTTAAAATACTAAGTTGGCATTTTAAAATATTGTTCATACATCTTCGAAAAACTAAAAAAGAGAAACTAAATGCATTACCTAGTTTAGACAGCAAACTGCTAATACTTAATATCAGTGAAGCGCTTATGTTTGGGTCTTCAAGTAGCTCTACAAGACAACTCAAGCATTCACTTGTTAATATATGATTTGATGTAAACAGTCGTGTGAGTTTCTGTCCAGAAATTACCTATAAAATAGTAATCAAAATGTGTTAGTTAAGAAATGGCAATTTTCATCTCTTCTCCATTTCAAATTAAAAACTCGGTTCCTTCAAAGTGCCATTGCTACCTTCCCAATTTAAAAACTTCACACATGCTGTGAAAAATTCACCCCTGCCTACATTACCTAATCCCTTCTTTGTAATCATTTGTGACTAGATGTCAGTTTAAAATCATTTCCACCGGGAAGCTTTCCCTAAGCTTCTTAGGCTATCTAGGTTAGGTCTGCCTATTATATTATCCTATAGTACATTATATTTCTATGCCCTAAGTTAGCAAACTTTTGAGTATCTAGCAATATTTCTCCCTCACACTACATTGAACATTTGATGAAGGCATAGATTACAAACCTGCACTCTACTACCAATATATTTAGTTTGCAAATAAATTCTAGTACTTTCTACCTACTTTGAGGGAGGAGAATGAAAAAGGAATCCCAGAGGGTAGCTATGGGATTATTCCTTCTGCTTCTTCTCAAAGACAATAGCTGATTTTAGAAGTTAAGCAATTACATAGCTGGGCGTAGTGGTGCATGCCTGTAATCTCAGCTACTGGGAAGGCTGAGGCAGGAGAATCCCTTGAACCCAGGAGGCCGAGGTTGCACCTTTGCATTCCAGCCTGGGCAACAACAGCAAAACTCCATCTCAAAATAAAAAAAAAAAAAGGTAGTTATGGGATTACAAAGAAGGAAGGGAAAAACAATCTTTCTTTAAGTAGCCAGGCAAGGAAAATTTGATTTCTGATTATTCCATGTTTTTTTAACTTCTTTCTTATAATCTATAAGCCACACACACAGGCACACAGACACACACACATACACACACACAGAGAGAGAGAGAGAAGAACGGAAGTAAAGCTGGAATTGAAGAACAAAAGCAGTTGTCAAAAAGTATGAAATTTCAACATGCTTTACAGACGTATTTATTATAAAGCACATATTTTCTACAAAGATGGAAAAAACCATTAGTTACTTTAGAATAAGACTATATCTATCCAGAATAATTATTTTTATAAGATCAAGCCTAAGCAGGCTGCTGTAGCATCCCTCTAATCTTTCCTTTCTGTATCCTTCCTTTATTCTCTCATCCACATCAGTTTTTCTTCTAAAGCTTTGCTGATAAGAGTTTCACATTATCTGTTTCCAAGGAGTGTTTTAACATTACTAATGTTAAAGTCTGTAAAAGAAAAAAATGTCCAAATATAACAGTACAGACACCAGTAACAGATATTCTGGGGTAGAAAATCCTCTGGGCATTATTACCCTGTTGTCTATTTATAAATCTAGCTCTCCCGAATAAGACATTTTTCTGTTTTAAAAAGGATTCTCCACAGGACTGGACCTGTATCTCAATAACATAAATTGTCTAACATGTAATAATTACATGTACCAGGTAAAATAAAAATTGTTTACAAATATTCCCCTTCACTCATATATATTGAATGTTTTAATACAAAAATAATTTATTTGAATAATAACTGATACTTATATAGCACTTATTCTGGCCTAGGCATCGATCTAGGCACCTTACATATGTTAACTTTTTTTCATCTTCATAATAACTCTATAAGGTAGGTGCCACTATTTTGTTTTGCAGGTGAGTAAACTGAGAAACGGACTGATAGCAAAAAAGCACAACTGGACTTCATAACATATCCAGGCAGCTTGGTTCATGAATTCATGCTTTTAGTTACTACACAAAACTAGTGCTATGAAATACCATCATTAAAAATTGGATACTACACAAAACTAGTGCTATGAAATACCATCATTAAAAATTGGATAAGCTCAGCTTTGCCAGTGATCAAACATTCAAAGCCTAGGTTCTGTTTGGGGCCACAAAAAAGTGTGGGAGAAGTACAGAAGAATGAATAATCTCCTTTCACATGATACCTATCTCTCTTTGCATCCTTAGATCTTGCTCTTATGAAGTCTACACAAAGACATTCACCATTAAAAATACAAATATTGTCAACCAAGATGGTTAAAACTAAGAAATATGAAAACATCAAGGGTTGGTGTGGATGAGTGATGGAAAATTTCACATATTGCTAGTGGGACGGTAAAATGGCAGAATATTTCAAAAAACTGTTTGGCAGTTTCAACTAAAACTAAACATATGCCTACCCGATGCTCTAACATTCTACTCCTAAGTATATAAATGCGTGCATATATCCACAAAAAATGTATGAAATGTCTACAACAGCTTAATTTATAATTCCACTCAGAAATGTAAACCACCCAAATGCCTATGAATGGGAAAGTGTATGTAAACTGTGGTACACTTATAAAATAGAATTCTGCACAGCAAGAAAACAAAATGCAGTGATACATGTGCAGCATGAAACGAATTTCAGGTTACATTGAGTGGAAAAGGCGAGACACAAGAGTACGTATCGTTTGAGTCTACTTACCTGAATCTTATGTGAAGGGACAATGAAGAAACCCTACGGGGTTAGAAATGCTCTATATCAGGATACAGGTGGTATGTAGCCTACCTATATGTTAGCTATCTATATATGGTAGCTATGGTACCTATATATTAAAAACTATCAAGCTCTTCACTTAAGATTAATGTACTTTATGCTCCGTATGTATGTTATCTCTTAATTACAAAAGTCCTTTGTAGTAGTAGTAACCTCAAGCCAGTGCTCTTTATACCTTTGCCATAATGGTAGAAAAGTTTTCTGTAATCCCCTTGAAAGTTTAGGAATACAGGGAAGACCCCATATTTTGTTTAAGCCTCTTTGTTTTTTTTGAGATGGAGTCTCCTTCGATGCATCACCCAGGGTTGGAGTGCAGTGGCGCAGCACAATGTCGACTCACTGCAACCTCAGCCTCCCAAGTTCAAGAGATTCTCCTGCCTCAGCCTCCCAAGTAGATGGGATTACAGGCAGCGCAACCACGCCCAGCTAATTTTTGTATTTTTAGTACAGACTGGGTTTCGCCATGTTGGCCAGGCTAGTCTCAAACTCCCGAACTCCTCATCTCCTACCTTTGGGAGTCCCAGGTGATCTGCCCACCTCTGACTCCCAAAGTGCTGGGATTACAGGCATGAAGTGCTGGGATTACAGGCATGAGCCACTGAGCCTGGCCTTAAGTCTCTTTGAATTCATAACCTCTTTATTCGCAAAGAAAACTAATGTTTCAAAATAGCATATAAAATGCTTAACTCCCAATTTGTAAATTAAACTGACGGTCCGGCTTTTTTCTGCATCTTCTGGAGTCTATACTGATTCAGAAGCAAAGCCTGAAGCATTTAACAGCTAACACCTTAATTATTAGGTTTGCGGGTGCTCCTTGAAGTAATGGATGAAAAAGACAAAACAAATGTCCTTGGGAGAGGGGCACCTGAAGTAGGGAGAAGAGGACCACCTGCGAAGCTCAAGAAAAGACAGACACATCTAATACAACAGCAGCTTCACTAATGGCTGCTGTTTCTGTACCACTTGAAATCATTTTTTTCCTGTAGGACTTTACAAATCGTTGGCACATTAGTCTTCTATCATAGGGTTAATATAATAAATACAATGTTTTCAAATTATGTACAATTCTATCTTACCTGAGGACAGCTGTGACAAAGAGAGTTAAAATGAGCATTAATTGAGCTTAAAGAAAAATAAACAGGTCAATGTTAGTTTGAATTCCATAAATGCATAACAAGTGACAGCAGGAGATTAAGATCCTAGAACAAATGGAATAGTCTGGACACGCATCACTAGAACTGACAGAAAAAAATGAAAGCAATTCAGCATTTTAGGGTTAAAAAACTGAGCAATGTATTCTGGTAAAGAAAAAGGATTACGCTTACTAGGAAGGGGGACTGCTCCTTAAATAAGGCTGAAATAATGTTTTTCAAGTCTGAGTCCAACCCGAGTTGAAATAAAAGCAGTAAGCAACAAATTCAATTCTAGATTACCGAAGGGCAAAGCCAAGTTTTAATCATGACTCCATGTCACTGAGAATCGTTATGTATTGAGGGCTTGGTTTCGTGGGAAAAAAAAACAAAACTAGAAGCAAAGGGGAAAAAAGCTGCGAGCTTTGTCCGTTACCTACCCAAAACAGCCCAAATTTCCCAAACTTTGGTCCCACTCCCGCTTTTCCTGGAGCCTTCATTGGGCGCTCCCGCCTCTCGCTGCGGCCAGAGGACCCCGACATTCACTCGCCTTCACTAGTACAAAAAGACATCAGAGGGAGCGATGGACTGTCCTTTCTTTCCTAAGCTGGGGCCGCCACATCCCCGCCACACTGTGAACTAACAATTACTAGCGGGAGCCCCGTCTGCCCTCCACCCCCGGGCCTCTCACCTCCAAGTGCCGCAAAAGCTGAGTGGCGTTCGCCTCGGACTTCACGGCTTTGTACTGGCTGATGGTCAGAAGCAATGACTTCAAGCAGGCCGTGGAGTCCATCGCACTGGCAGCGGGCCCGCTTAGGCACAGCCACCACCCAGCCTGCGCCGGCCTTCAACTTTCGCCGCGCTTTTTTTTTTTGATTTTTTTTGGCCCCACCCCCTCGCCCCCAGAAGCTTCCGGATCCGGTCGGGCTCCGGAAGTCCCTAGGCCCCCTGGGTGACAGTTCTCGGTGACGGCCGAGGTGGGCCGAGGGAGAGGTGGCGTGTGGATCCGGGAGGGGGCTTGGGAGCTGCCCCTGCTAACCCCCACTCGTCTGAGAGGCCGCGAGGTTTCAGCCTGAGATCCCGTGACGGCGGGAAATCTCGCGATTTCTCGGGAGGAATCGGTTGGGTGCCGCTGTTGCTCCTTCAGCTGCGCGCTGTGTTTTAGTGCGCTTCCTCAGCCTTCGTGTTGGATGGCCAGTTTTTCCTTTGTGCGTCATCCTTTACCTGAGAAACGGTCGCTTGCCCCTAGTCTAGACACGGTGAGGAACTCTGAGGATAAGCATCTTTGGGCCCTAGTTTCGAGGCGGCCTGGGAGGGGCCTAGTTTTTCAGTCTCTCCTCCACCCGCCCCTTCTGCCGGGGGTGGGACTTTCTCCGAGATCCAACCTACGGACATTGGCCTTCCGTGCCAAGTTGGTCATGCCCTGACCGTAGTGTTTGTCACATTTATTCGAGAAGGCCACCTCCTGCTGACCCTGGGCCAGGTGTTGCCCCGGAGGGTGTTCTCGTTAGCGTCCGTTTTTGTAAGTGAAGGTGTCTGTTTCTCTCTGGCATGATTGTTTCGTCATTTTCGATGTCTACGAAAGTGGCACTATTATTTACGTTTCTTTTTAATAGGACACAGCTTAATATTGTCGCATGTATATATAATGAAGTGAGTCAGTTACTGGTTTTGGAGCTTTTTTGCTTAATATTTCCTAACGTCGAAAAAGCTTTGAAAACCAGGGTGCAGAAATTTTAAGAATAGTGTACATTTCCATTTAATTAAGTCATTTATCAGAAATCATGTTTTTTTTTTCACTTCAAAAAACATTTTTTGAATGACCAGATTTTTGAAGGCAGGTTTGGTGTTTCGTTTTTGTTTTTATAAAAGTTTAAAACTAAATCCGAAAGATGAAAATGGTTTAACCAGTTGGGACATTCATGTAAAAAATCTGTGGGCAGCTTATGTGTTCATTCATGCTTTCATTCATTCCGTAAACAGCTGTAGAGCATGTAACTGGGGTTAGAAATTGCCAGTCACGGAACAGAGATGAGGAAGTGTCCCCTGCTGCGAGGTGACTGTCTAGTAAAGGAAACATACAAAATAGATAGTACTTTAGAAACTGACGACATAAACGAGAGGCACCATGCAGTAATGGCAAAGAGTACAGAGCCGGGCTGCTTGTAGATTCTAGCTCTACCTTTGACGATGTGACTCTAGGCAGGCTCTCATCACTGCTTCAGAATCATCATAAGGTAAAAGCTGGCCAAGAGAAATACCTGTTTCATAGGACTGTTCATTCAATAGGTCATTCGTTGAGAGTCTACAAGGCGCTAAGCACTTTTCTAGGCGCAATAGACTCAGTGAATAAACAAAAATACTACTGGTATGCAACTTACATTCTGGTAGGGAACCAAGGAAACACAGTAAGTAAGAAAAATGACATGAAGAGACAAATAGACGTTATTACTCTAGAATCATGTTGTTAATTGATAAGGGAATGGGAAGGTCAGGATAGACCTCATTAAGAAAGCAACATTTGGGGAAATGCTTCAAGGAATTGAGAAAGGGAGCTGTATTTCAGGGGAAAAGGTTGTTATATAGAGGAAATGGCAAAGCAAGACCCTAAAGTGGGTTACCGCGTGCCAGGAACAAGTATGCCATGTGGCTAATGTAGAAAGAATGAGGAGGAGTAGAGATGAGGTCCTATGTGGTTTGGGGAGATGGTTAAAAGATGAATTAATGTAAAGTGTCAGCTGTCATCTGGCGTAATTAGGTTCTGAGTGTTACAGTCAGTGGCGCATTGGCAAATAATGAGTTTGATACTAACAGTATCAAATTAAAAGTCGAACAGATTTTTCATCTGTAATGACAAGTGTCATTGAGAGCCCCCAGGTAACGCTCAGAGCTGCCTGCCATCAGTGCCATCTTTGTTGGATTTTAACATAAGCAGTCAAACAAATTTTGCATTCTCTTCCATATTTAATATCAAGCGTCTTTCTAAAAAAATCTTCACCAAAATTGATGTTGTAAGTTTAGTAAGAGGTATTGTTTCTAGCTGTGGTTAAGTCTTGACATTTTCAATGAGAGATACTTGCATATCCTAATTTGAGAAACACCGATCCATACTCTTAGGGCTCAAAAAGGGGGAAGAAAAGGAAGAGGAGGCCAGGAGCAGTGGCTCACGCCTTTAATTTCCAGCTTTTTAGGAGACTGCAGCAGGAGAATCTTGCACCCAGGAGTTGGAGACCAGCCTAGATGACATAGTCAATGAAACCCCATCCCTACAAAAAAACGAAAAAATTAGCTGGGCATGGTGGTGCTCACTTGTAGTCCTGGCTACTCTGGAGGCTGAGGTGGGGAGATTGAGGCTGCAGTGAGCTGCGATATAGCCTGGGTGGCAGAGTGAGACCCTGTCCCCAAAAAAAAAGATATAAGTCGGGGTCCAGATGATCAAAGGCCTTTTTAGCCTTAAACTTGAACTCCATTCTGAAGTCAGTGGCAATCTCTGGTTTTAAACTGGCACCTGATCTAGTCAGGTTTGTTTTTAGGTTGATTACTATGGCAGCTGAATGAACTGTGATTTTGGGGAAGATAGGACTGGAAAGAGGGAGACTCATTTTCTGGAGCCTTCTAAAGGATAACCCAGATAATTAAGGTGGAGACAGAAAAGAGGTGACGAATTTGAGAAATATATATGAGGTAAAATAGGTAGGATTTGGTGACTGATAGTGGATGTGAAGAGTGAAGAGAGGGATGCGTCTAGCAGATGTTCTAAGTTTTTAGGCTGTGTGAATGAGAAGATACAGATACCTCTGAGTTAGTTAATAGAAAGTATTAAAGGTATGCCAGGCAAGGTGGCTCATGCCTGTTATCCCAGCACTTTGGAAGGCTAAGTCAGGAGGATCTCTTGAGCTCAGGAGTTCAAGACCAGCTTGGGCAATATGGTGAAACCCCATCTCTATGAAAAATACAAAAAATTAGCCGGGTGTGGGAGGTGCATGCCTGTAGTACCAGCTACTCAGGAGGCTATCATGAGAGGAACATCTGAACCTGGGAAGGCAAGGCTGCAGTGAGCCATGTTTGCCCCACTGCACTCCAGCCTGGGCAATGTGAGCAGCAGGAGGGAGACCCTGTCTCAAAAAAAAAAAAAAAAAAAAAAAAAGTAAGAAAGTAGTCAGGGTATATTTTATGTTCAATGAAATTTTATATAGTTTGTCATACTAGCTTGTTCCATTGTCATTATGTTTGTTTCTCATTACGTTTATCCTAATAGAGATTGGTTTACTTAGACTTTCTACCTGTATATCATCTGCAAATAATTACTTTATCTCTTCCAGTATTTGGTTTTACATTATTGCATTAGTGTAATCTCCAAAATATGGAAAATCATGTTAACTTTGAACAGCTTTGTTATATTGCTTAATTTAATCAGAATGAAGTGTTTTAACACTTAATATAATTTGTGCTATTGGCTTTTGATACTCATGTTTAAGAGCTTGGCCTTTATATCTACTTCATTCTAAAAAATGTCTGCCAAAAATTATCCAGTTTTCACATTTATATATTTTATTTTTCACTTTAAAATTATAACACAGTGGATTATGTTGCCTTTTGGTTCTTGGGATAAGAACAGTTTATACTTACTGAGCATTTGCCATGTGCCAAGCACCGTTCTAAGGACTTTATACTTACCTATCTAATAATGACCCCATGCTGTAGGTATTATTATGATCTCCATTCTACAGATGAAAAACTTAAGACAGAAGAGGGGGAAGTAATTTGCCCAAGGTCACAGAGACAATAGTAACAATCCTATGTTTTCTATGCTTCAGGTTTTGATTTGCTGGTATTTTAATTCAGGATTTTATTATAAATATACCTGTTTATAAGTGAACATTTTCAATAATGTTTTTCTTTATCCTCACATCAAATTTGGGTTATATGTTTCCTTTGAAAAAAAATTAGAAGTGTTTCATCTTTTTTTATCCTGTGGGATAATAAGAATCATAAAAATTATCTGATCCTTGTAGGCTGTACACAGTTTGCCTGTGAAATCATTAAGCTTGATAGCTTATTTAGTGGTAGATGGTAGAAATTTAGAAAATATTTGAATTTTTCTTGGTGTTTTTATTTTTGTTTATTTATTTATTTTTTTGTTTTTGTGATAGGGTTTCACTTTATTGCCCAGGATAGAGTGCAGTGGTGTAATCACGGTTCATTGCAGCCTTGACCTCCCTGGGCTCACTTTATCCTCCCACCTCATCCTCCCTGGGACCACAGGCATGCCCCACCATGCCTGGCTAATTTTTATATTTTCTGTACAGATGGGGTTTCACCAAGTTTCCCAGGCTGGTCTCTAACTCCTGGTCTCAAGTGATTCACTTGCCTCAGCTTCTTGAAGTTCTGGGATTATAGAAATGAGCTACCATGCCTGACCTTGAGTTTCTAATATAGTTATAGATCTGATCATTTATTCTATCTTTCCTTAATTTTAGATATAGAAGGTTTAGTATAAACAATTGTTTCTCTAGATTAAAAATTTACTGATAAAAAGTTACATTCAGTATTCCAGTAATTCTCTTAATCTCATAGTAGTTTTAAATTTCCATTTTCATTGTAATGTTATCTATACTTTTTTCTTAGTTGGGCTTTCCAGAGGTTTTGGGGTACATGTGCAGCTTTGTTACGTAGGTAAACTTGTGTCATGGGGATTTGTTGTACAGATTATTTCATCACCCAGGTTTTAAGCCTAGTAATCATTAGTTACTTTTCCCATTTCTCTTCTTGTTCCTACCCTCTGCCCTCCAATAGTGCCCAGTGTGTGGTGTTCTCCTGTATGTGTTCATGTGTTCTTATCATTTAGCTC